ATGAATCATCTTCTCGTGAAACTTTTTGCAGCTAGCACAACCTAGCCCGACGGCTAACAGCTAGCAGCCAAGAAGCTGAAGTAGGCTTCTTTTCGTCAGCTTTCTTCCCGAATTTTCCGTTCCACCTTACATGGTGCAGGAGCTCCACTCAAGCGCCTTACAGGTGCCTGAACGTAACTGCTGCGCCATTTAAGGTGGAACGGAAAATTCGATAGAGAAGTCAACTTCAGCATGTAGATATTCCGATATCTAGCTACAGCTCCATTTTCACAAATGGAACGAGCTAAACATTACATTAAATATTTAACTAATCAGTTAAAGACCGTTTGTCTTACTCCCTGTACGCTTGCTGACAGTTATAACAATATACAGAGAGGATATTGCACCCTAGTTAGCTAGCTAGCTAGCATGCCAAGTTCAGCCGTAACACTGTTTGTGATTAGCACAACAAATTAGTTGTCTATCATTTAAACAGGTGTCATGAGCGGAATGACTGCTTAGCACTCAAAGCAACTGTCAGTAATAAAAAGTAACGTTAAATATATAAAATACATGAATTAGAAATCAAATAAGAATGAGTCAGAAAAGCAAGCGGTAACGTTAGCTTAGCCTACAGCTACCGCGCTAGGCTAAAGCTAAGGCTAGTTAGCCGACAGACTTGGCTACCTATGGCCACGCAAAGCGACCCGTATGCAGAAAAATGTAACCGCTTTAACAGGCTCCATTACGGCTTATCGACAGAGCGACGTGTCAGCTGTGCCGTTAAATGTCTGCTAGATTAAACCGGGTGCGACTCACTGATGCGGGACTCCAAGCTCCCCTCTTCAGGCGGAGCCGCCATCTTTACGGAGATTCCTTCCAAAGTGGAGCCACAACTTCTCGCGATACACCGCGTGATTAAGAAAAGTCACGAGTCTGAGTTGCGTCTGTTGTCGACAGTCTGTCACTATAGCAACGACACGACACGATTATTATCATTATTATTATTATTATTTTTACTGTAACTATCGTTTGTACAGCAGTAAGTGCTTGGCCGTGGATGAAAAAAGTAATGACATTGCATTCCCTTGCGATTATTTTGCGTTCCCTCACGATGATTTTGCACTCACTCGCAATATTTTTGTATTCACTCGCGATTATTTTGCGTTTCCACACAATGAGTTTGCATTCCGCCGCAATAATTTTGCATTCTCTCGCAATAATTTTGCGTTCCCTCGCAATGATTTTGCATTCCATTGCAATGATTTTGTGGTCCCTTTCAAATACAATAGATTTAGCTAGGGAAAGCAAAATGTTTGTGAGGGTATGCAAATATATTTCAAGTAAACGCAAAATTGTTCCAATTACAAAAGTACAGATTAATAGTTTTATGTAAAACTTAATATCTATGTGACTCATCAACAGAAAAAAGAAAAATAATTAGAAGAATAAATATTATTGGCAGTTATGCGAATTTAAAGCATTTCATGTTTTGATGGACCTCAGTATAGATATTTAATTACACAGATCTGTGTGTTCATGTATATAAAATTTTGTATAAAACTGAACTATTGTTATAGTCAAATTTATTCAAAAGCACTCGTTTAGGTTGAATAATAGGTTGTCTGAGTAATAAAATATAGTTGCATTTTAAAGGAATTTCTTTACCAATCCTGCTTTTCTAGTCTAGAAAGTAATCAATCCACAACAAATAAGCAAATAAAAAAAAACAAATTCAAAGGATTGTTAATTTAATATTATAGATTATGTGTATTAAATGTGCATGTGTGTGTGTGTTTGTGTGTGTACAATTAGATTTTACACTAAAACAATGAAGTATATTGCAAATTTAGATTTCATGTTCTAAATGAATGATTCAACATTTATCTGTGCAGTTGTAGGCAAAAGTATGTACAAACTACATGTAGTCTCCAGTCAAATTGCAAAAAGTGAAAATTAGTAAACACATCCTCTACCAGAAACTTAAATATGACACTTTTCTGTCAAGTTAGTGCAATTTCTATTTATTTGAGTTTAAAATATTGGAAAAAAATGAACGATATATAAAATGTGCCATAACTTTTGCACAGGCCGCATTTTATGTTTGATTTTGTTTTCCCAATATATACAGCAGATAAACAGTAACTGTGCAAAATGTGCAGAAGTGTGTTCTGTGTACAACAGTGTTTTACATATTTTTTTTTAATCATAACCTTTATTTTAATTGTAAGGCAGTTTTTCAATACATATTAACAGTTAGTATGATAATATTTTCCCTTCTTTGATGCAGACAATGATTTAATATTGTTCAATAGTCCAAATTTCCCCACAATATAGTGCAGTATAATGTTTAATCTTGATTTGTTAGATAATGATTTGACATGTCTTTATTTCCAATGTTATGACATTATGATGTAATTTTTTTGTTTTGTTTTGTTTTGTTTTTGTAAGACAAATATTTGAGGGTATGCTGTTCATGATAACTCTCCTTGCTTAAATTGAAATCCTATGATGATAACTATCATCTTTCAAAACGGACCACAAAACAATGCAGTGGAATCAATATAGATTTTGATATAACAATAAGACTCAGTGAATGTACACTGGAATGGTGGGATCTCATCATAGCTGTTACCATCAAGGCATCTATCCAAATCACTGTGTTGTTTTACACCTACTGAACTGAGATACTCTGACGTGATGATGATGTATGAGTCAGAGTGGAGTGTGAGTCATTCACACACAGGGAGTGTGCACCGCTCATAGTCTCATGCACATGAGAGTATCCACATTCTTTCTGTGTTAAACCTTCATTCAGTGACACCTCACCTCTGTGTTTACATGTGAACATAAAAATAGACAGATTTACTTCCTCATTTTCTATTCTTGTGAGGATTTCTTGTGTAATCATCATTTCTATTTTTTTGCTCTGACCTTTGCCTTAAAGGGCCTATATCTTGCATCCTTCTTGCATTTCCACTTATAATATTTATGTGGTTATATACCCCAAAACAGTTGCTCAACCATTTTCCAGCCTCTCTGTATCCCTTTGAATTAAACAGGCTGTTACTTTTAAGACTGATTTGCGGTATGTAAATGACCTCTGTTCTGATTGGCTGCCCCGTATGTAAAAGTCAGGCCTGGAACACAGCTTATAACTTCAGTGTGAATGGGTGGGGCTAAACTGCTGTAGGCTGACTAGGTGGACATGTAAAGGTATTGGTTTATTTATGACATCACAAAATCAGCAAATTTTCAGCTTAGTTTCTGTAAATGGTCCATCTGGACTCGAGAGTGAATGGTATGTTTTGACACACTGTTTACATACCACATCAAACTTTTTGTTTAAAAAGGAAGAGAAAAATGTTTGTTTTTTCATGATATGAGCCCTTTAATCTGACCTATCACTGAACAATTGAACCCCACAAGTATTACTTTAACACTAACCTGAGCTCTGCCCTTTAGACTGACCTTAACAATTCAAGGAAAATCTCAAGCTCTTTTGCTTTTTTAAGTTTTAGTTTGAGGAAGGAAGGAAAAAGACACTTCCTATGTTTTTCAAGGTCAGTGTTTTGGACTATGCATTCACATGGAGATACTGGGTTGCCATATGTGTGTTGAAGTACAAGGTAGTAGTTTTTATACATCTCATGATTTGTGGAGAATTGTTTTACCAACTGACTACAACAGGTAAATGAAAAGATGGGTCATAAACATAAGTCACATTTAATATCCCAAATCAGTACTACTAATGGTCATCTGCACCTCATGTTGTGGACAATGTTGACTAAGAAACAAAAACTCACAACCCATTGATAGAATGCCTTTGCAAAAGGGCCTTATGTGACTATTTCAAGTAAATGATAATAAAATATTAAAGTACTTTAAAACATTCACAAGATTATAAGAATATTTCTACCTATTCTTTAACATGTTTTTCAAATGTTTTGCATAATTCAGTCATTCAGAGTGGTTTGAAAAGTAATGCTCCATTCTAGAGAAACTTACTGACTGCTTTACAGTGGTGGTGATAGGAACCAGGGGTCACAATGTCTACAATACAAATATAGCCATTTTATTTAAAATCCCACATAAAAGTGAACCTATATGTATCTTTCAGTATTTGTCTTTGTGATCAAGATGATGGTAAAATAGTGTTAAATCTGACAAAATAAGTTTTCTTTGGGGACTATTTTGCCTTGCAATGCCCTGCATGTACCGCTCTGCCATGAATAAACTTTTAAATATATATGTTTTAGGCAATAACTTTATCGTAAAACTAGTGTAAAACAATGACTCAGGCTTCAAACAGCTCCATAACCCTCTCACATAATAATTTTCTCTAAGGGAGCTTTTGGTGGCATTAAACTCTTCTGACATCTGATTCCAATCACTACCACTGTGAACAATTCTGACTCTGTAAATGTATTAATGGAGCATTTTACATTGAACCACTTCTGAATGATTTTGTTTACATTTTAATGATTGAATAATGCAAAAAGTTTGAAAAATCAAAGGATTCCCCTTTAAACTCTTCAGACGTCTGATTCCTATCACCAGCACTGTTTACAATTCTGACTCAGTAAGTTTCTCTTAAAAGACAACCTGACAACCTTCTGTTGCACATCCCTGCTGTTTTTTCTGGTCTTTCTCACAGTGAAGGATGCCTGAGGACATTTGGCCTGGGATTCATCTCATATATATTCCCCAGTGAATCAGGAAGTCGTTGCTGACCATTAAAGTATTCCTAATCAATTCCTTTAACCAATATTTGTGGAGGCAGTGTATGTAAATAAGGTCTGTTCTGATTGGTTGCACTGTATTGCGCCTCATTCTTCAACGTGAAAGGTGCTGTTATTTATACTTTAGTCGATATTTCACATAGGTATCGATACTTTTACTTGAGGATGGATTCAGGCTATTAGGCTGGACTATTGGTAGAGTGCAGTGCTCTTTGACGAGCTGTTTCCACTGCCGGCCAGCAGGGGGCGCGAAACCTTCTGCAGCCCCAGAGGGAGGATCTGTGAGTCATGTTCAGTTCAGTTTCGCCTTCAGGGGTCGAGGCGAGTGCGGTACGACTATGGCTGAGCTTCAGTGCGGCTTTTTCAGTCTTGAACAAATATTAAAGTCAACAGAGACGGGTTATGGGAGACGCAGTGACGGTAATTCGTCGTTTGGACTTCGAGGACACATTCAAAACTCGCAGCGCGGTTTGTTTGGAGGAAACGGACGCAGAGCTAACGTTAATTAACGTTACTGAACGTTACTGCTGACACAAACCAGGGTCAAGATCAAGAAATCCGGACATTCAGGATCGTATAAAAAGGATTTATTGCTTTGTCTTGTCACGAAATTATCATGGACCTACTCCTTTGCCTTTTGGGTGAATATTTATGGCAGTTTTACAAGCCAGCTGCTGAATGTAACTAATGTAACTTACTAGGCTAGCTAGCTAAACTAGCTTGCAGGGTGTTCTCAGAGCTGACGGAGAAGACATACATTTGCCACGTTGTGGTCCCCAAAGCTGATTATTTGAAGCTGTTCTGGCTGAAAGCTGAAAGGAAAAAGCTTTTACTAGCTTGTAATTTGCCTCTGAAGTAAGTACCTGGACTATTTTGTGGACCATGGGCTCCTTGAAAGCCCTTCAGGAGTGGTGCAGAGTACAGTGTGAGAACTACAATGATGTGGACATAAAGAACATGTCCTCATCTTTCAGAGATGGACTGGCCTTCTGTGCTATAATACACAGACACAGACCAGACTTGATGTAAGTATTCTTCATGTATGCTTTGCTTTGCTTTTATCCCTACTTGCAGGCCACCCACCCAACACTCAACTCTCAGCTCAAACATGGAGGCATGTGAATTATATCATGGTTTGCTTATACACTTAAAAAGATGGTTATTCAGTGGTTCTTTGGTAAAGGCAATTGTTCTATTTAAAACCACGAGCTCTGTGTAAAACCATTTGATGCTTAAATGGTGAAAAGGCCTCAGATTGATGAAGAGTGTGTTGTTAATGGATCTGTGTAGTTCCTTTTAGGGTTTTATGTAGCACCAAAAAGGATTCTCTGTCGTTACGAGCTTGACATCATAACAATAGCAGAACCCTTTTTAAAAGGGGTCTGCGTAGAACCATACACAACAAATTCTCCATCAATCTGAAGAACCATTTCGCAATGCAAAGAACCCTTTAAGCATGCAAATGGTTCTTTGAGTGTTCATGGTAGTATATAGAACCATCATCTTTACTAAAGAGCCCTTGAAGAACCATCTTTAATTTATTTTTATTTATTTTATTTAAGAGTGAGCATTTAATATTATTTACATTTATATTAAAATGTAGAACCATATACAACACATTCTACAATGTTAATTAATCTGAAGAACAATTTCACCATGGAAAGGACCATTTAAGCATGAAATGGTTGTACATAGAACACATGGTTATAAATAGAACCATTGCCTTTACTCAAGAACCATCATTTTTAAGTGTGTAAACTACTGTTCTTGTGCCAGTGGTAGCACATAATTGGAAATTCCTTTTAGTCAGAGTTTAGGCTTAACCTGGCTCTAGGAATCTGGCCCATAATGTTATGGAATACATAGTAAAGTCAGAAGTGGTTCACAGTTGAAACTTCTGTATTTATTTAGGTTTAGGATTAACTTTGGTTTAGGTGTTCTTGTTCTTGGACGTGTTCGTGCTTTGTTAGGTTTATAAGATACACCCATGCTTAAATAGAATTACAGGAACTGAAAGATCAGGTTGGATGAGGTTAATCAGCTTGCATGAAGTTCCAGAACTGGTGATGGCAAAAGTCAACTGATTAAACTCGAGGCTGATCACTTTAGGTTTTAAATAGCCCACAAAAAATAGTACTGATTCAGCTTGTGGCCTAATGTAATTTGTCTTATTTGCTCTGTAGTCTCTTTGGGAAGCATTGTATCGCAGGTGTTTCTCAGTACTCAAAAGTGTGCATGTAATGAGGTTATTGAATATTGACAAAGGGTGGATAAAATGGCGTAATCATGATACACAGTACGTTTCACAAAAATTAATTTTTTGGAAGTTTGGAATGGACAAAATGCAAAGCAATAATTACACGTAAAAATATGAAAGGGCTGATGATATGCTCAGAAAAAACGTATCATAGCATAATTTATCACGATAAGGATGTTAGACTGTCATATTGCCCACCCCTGGTGTTGAGCCTCTTTTCTGATCACTCATGAAAATTCCCTCACTTGCTATTCAGCATTTTAGAAAAAGACATTTGTTTCCTACAAAATAAATAAAATCTTATAAATTAGGTCTGTTTGTCCTAATATATTTGACCTAAAGGGGCATCCAAAATGACCAGTGAACCTACATGTGCCTTCTGAGTTTTTATATCTTACGTTGATGATGGTAAAAATTGCGAAATCCTGTTTAACTGTACACGCCCTCACTGCCATGGATGGATTTAAAAAATATATAAAATACGATTTAGAAATTCCTTAAGTTAGTTGAGTTACATTCAGAGCTGTCCTGTTGTGTTATTGTCAGGCAGCCCCCTACACCTCTCTCTCTCTCTCTCTCTCTCTCTCTCTCTCTCTCTCTCTCTCTCTCTCTCTCTCTCTCTCTCTCTTTTTGTGTCTCTCTCTCTCTCTCGCTGTTTCCTCCCCTGTATAATAACAGCCCATGTTAGCCCTGTGTAGGGGTCAGTTCAGTTTGGCTGATGTGGGTTGACAGCACAGGGCTGAACTCTAACAACACTCACAGCCTCTTTTTGTGCTTGCTGTTCTCTGTGTGTCTCGCTCAGTGTCTCTTCTGTTTTTCGCTCTGCCTTATCTCTCTCAGATCTTATTCTTTTTGCCAGTAGTGTTATCAGCTTTATAAAAGCCTAAAAAGAAACCTAAAGCTGCTAGAACATTTTCATAAATGGAAATAAAACAAAAATAAATGGGATCTAAACAAGCAAACAAATATCGTAATCATTACTCAAACACAAATATTGAGAAAATAAAAAAATAGTATAGCAAATAATACAGCATTATTTGCTCTCTGTTTTCTTTTGTTTACATCTTTGTTTCTCTCTCTCTCTCTCTCTCTCTCTCACACTCTCTCACTCTCTCTCTCTCACTCTCTCTCAGAGGGCACTATGTAAAGCCCCAAATGTGCTGCATCAACAGTACAGTCATCAGCACAGGAGACTGCAGAGCTGAGTAAAAGCAACAGACAGCGATACAGCCATGAAAATGCACCGTCTGGGTTTAGTCTCTAGTGAGGAAGCAGTCATGTAGTTCTAAGTCTTGAGACAGGCTGTCTTAACTTTAATCACATACTACTACATGCTGTGTGTGTGTTTGTGTGTCATGGTGACAGAGCATGTGTGTCATCAGGTACTTGAATGTAGTAAGCATGAATCAGACTGTTAGAGATTTGGCTGGGTCAGTTTCGGTTATGTTTGTTATTGTTGGCGCTTTTGCTTCCTCAGCTAAGCATGAGCGTGGATGCGGTTGTGGTTGCAATAAGGCTGCAGCACAGCACACCTGTGAAGCGTGTCTAAAAAAAGACAAGGTGACTGGACAAAACCTGACTAAATTTATTAGCCAAATGTATTTGCGTGTGCTAGGAATTTGTTTTGGTAGAATTGGTCTATATGCAAATTGTAGGCATACGCCGATATAAAAAAAATGGTAGTACCTTGTATTATGGTTTACAATATAGCAATAAGTAATTTTAAAATAGCAATATTTGTGTGCAGTATTTACAGTAAGATCATCATTAAAAATCAAAATAAGAAAACTGTAGTGTTGCTCACTGTGTGTCACTATCATAGAGGACTATTTGCATTTTGGAGTTTGAAGTTGAGAACCTGCCATAGGACACACAGACCTCTAGAAAGAGCTGAAAAGCTGCTCCAACCTAAAATACCAACATAAAATTTAGTAAATATTTCAACTTAAAGCCCAAATCTGAATATTACTGGATTTGCCTGGTAGCCCATAAGCAGTCACCAGGTTCTTAATAGTAGTGCTACTACTACTACTACTACTACTACTACTAATAATAATAATAATAATGAAAAAAAAGTCATTCCACCATTAAAGTGAAACATGTCTCAAGCTTTTATAGAATGTTTTAATATTCCAGATAATATTTGAGAATATGCAAAAATAAAAATATTCAATAGCCCGAGATATGACCATACAGAAGCAGTGTGCAGAGAATGTCCAACATGCCTTACAAGATGTGCAATATATCCAAGTATCTGAGTCTAGAGTCCAGCAAAAGTGCAGAATACACAGGTGTGAACGGAGAGTCCTTTAATTCAGGCAGGGTTGTGTGAGTAGCTCCACTTCAATACAGTTCAGTGTTGTGTGTGAGAGCTAGAACACAATCTCTGCTTTATGTATGTGTGAGTGTGTGTGTGTGTGTGTAAGCCTGCAGGCTCTGGTACATTTCAGTGCTCTCTGTGAGTGTGTGAACCTTCCAACTTTGCCACCGCTGCTAAATCCACTGTGACAGACTCAAACCTTGGCTGCAGATTAGCTTGACGGACCGTCGATCTGGATCAAGCATTGTGAAGACACACATACACACACATTCTCAGTACAGTAAGCGTCTTAACCCTCAAGCTGCCCCCATTCCCATTTCTACCAGTGCTGGGGATTGGTCAGACTAGACTTGAACTTGAATAAAGTTCCATATTTATCAGTCTTGCTGACAAAGCACTGATAGTATGTATATATAGTTACATGTTACAGTGAACGTATGCCTCTATGAGAAGATTAGGGATGTTGTGGTATCATAGTTTCATGGTATATGATCAGATAATCACTTTACTAATGTACTGATAATAATTCATGTCTGTCTATTCTTGTCTATGAGTTGTGGTTCCTTAAACAGGTGCTTTTTAGCCTGTTTTAGCCACGACCCCCTCCAATAACTCTGAAGTTTAGTGGTAGATGACACATTGCTATTAGTAACATGCACAAAAAACACGGCATTGCAGGCCATAAATAAACCAAGGTATTATATCATAAATAAACCAAAAACCACTTTACCAACATCTGACAGCCATTACACAGCTCAGTGATTCTGAATGAAGCAACATGCATACTTTTCATTTTTTGCGCTTTTTAGCGTGGTTAGTTAATAATCACTTAATGTTGATGCACAAAATTTGTTGGACCACGTCATATGTCTATACGTAATAACGCCACACACAGGCTCAAAAGTAGAACTGATGTTTAGATCTCAAATTCAAAATTAACATTATGTTGACAACAGTAGATAATTCTTTTACATCCTCAGAAGACACAACCTTCACTGAGTTCTCTTTGAGTTCTCTTTCAACTCACTCTTTTCCTGCATCTTGCATACAGTTATACATTTCCATCAGAGCTGTTCCCAAATCTCCAAAGTTCCAAAATTTACATTTTGATGTTTTAAGACTTTGAGTTGATAATAATGGACATAATATTTGAGTAATAATTTTACTTAGTTATATCAGTCAAGTAAAGCACAGCTTAATTAAAGCTTTGGGCTCAGTTTTCCAGACCTAGATTAAGCTTAAGCCTAGGGCAGTTTACCATTGCTCCTGCAATTTAGTCAGAGTCTGGGCTCATATGTATGTCTACGTCATGCAGCCCGACGGGAGATTGGTCACATCTCATCATCTCATTCAAACGCATTTGAACTTGTGAGTCTGGGCTTTAGAGGTTTGTTGATCTGAAAGTTGTTATAGCTGGGTAACAGGACACTTCAGAGATGGTATCAGTTCCTCATATTTCTGGAGTTTCTTGCATGTTATCTCATCCTCCATCAATCATACCAGTTTTAAACTGAGGGCATCGTGTTATTCCTTAATGTTTTGATGATTACTTCACTGGTGCAGTCTCAAGCTTACCCCAGACCTTAGATTACATTTGGTTTTGCTTTGTTTTTCTCTTTCTCTGTATCTTAATTCCTCTTTTCTCATCGTTTCCGCTCCTCTTCCCCTCACAGCATTCTCGTGTTAATATTTCAGCCAGCCCTTTTTTTGACTGCCTAGTTCATTCCCTCTTTCATTTTTTATCGTTCTCTTGTTTAAACTCAGATTAGCGTAGTTACTCAGTCCAAGCGGTTTGATTGTCTTTTATTTTGAATGTAAACAGTACTCCTCCCAGATGGAGTCACCGTTTTGGCTGCTCTGACTGAGGGGAGCATGTGTGACAGTCCTGCTGAATCATGTCTGAGTAGAGTTTCACTCATAGCCGTTCTGCTAGGTGAAACCTGCTCTCCATAATTAGACCAAGCAGCTCTACAACTGCTGTCATTCAGCTGGACATTCAGCTGGACTGCTGTTTTTAGCCAGTGTTCATCAGGTATTGGTAGCCACTTTTACATGCACCCTGATAATCTCTTAATAATCTGAATAATAGCTCAATCGGAATAGAATTTGTCTATGTATACACTTTTCTGAATTTGGAATACAATTACTACCTGATTGAACGAGGTGGATAATCCTGTAAATCAGGGGTGCTGTAAATCAGGGAGGGCCAGTGTCCAGCACAGTTTCCCAGCTGAAACATACCCACTTAACCTGCAATTAACAAATAAATGTAATCAGGTGTGTTGGAGCAGGTAAATCACCGAACTGTGCTGCACACCGGCCCTCCAGGACCGGAGTTGTGCCCCGCATGCTGTAAATAATCCGTTAAACGCCTGTATCCAATTACATTCCCAATCGGACAGTTTAAGTACATTCAGCACATGTAAATTCGTGCCATAGTGAAAGTTTATAATGTTCAGCATGGCGGGAGCAGAAACTGGTCTGCAGAGGAGACAAAAAGACGGCAGTGGGACGGGCGTCCAGCTTATGTGTCTCAGAACATGACGTCTTCCTCTCGTCCTTCTTTAATAAGTACATGTGAAGTCTGACATCATTTTAAAGTAAAATCACAAGCACTGCTTACTGCTGCTCATCTCACTCTGGCTGGACTGACGTGATGCTCGTTGTCATGGTAACATCTACACTAAGTACTGCCTTACACAGGTGCATTATTTTGGATTGGATTACTTGTAACATGCATGGAAATGGAGATTTTCCATCTGGTTGTTGAGTAGAGTGAGCATATAAACACCTCAGTCGTAATCTATAATCGGAATGTATTTAATTGGATTGGCAAAAATCTTGGCATGTAAACACAGCCAGTGTTGGAAAGGAAAAAGTGGTATCGATGAATTCCTAGCTCCAAGCGTCACCCAGCACGGTTACAGCATAAACAAATGCCTTCAGCTTGTGGAAAAGACAAGGGTGGAGAGTGACGTGTAACCCATTTGAAAAGTATTTTTAATTTGTGCCATATCGTTTTGGTAACAAGCATTATAGCACTTGGTATTAATAGTGTTTGCACTGATTCAATACTGGGTATCTGTATCAGGGAAAGATCAGCTGTTTAGAATATCAGAAGGAAAAAGGAAATGATGCTGATCTGATCCTGTAACAAGTCTATTCAGAAATGGCACACGCTCACATTGTGTGATGTGGTGTTGTTAGCTGTGGTGTTGTTCCTGTAAAGTGAATAGAGTGACTGAGTAGTTTCAACATGATGGCCTATCTTTAGATCCTCATGTTAGGTGAAGTACTTCAAATGAAAGAAGCTCATTTTAAAGCTTAGTGGTTTTTAAAGAAAAAATATTGTATCAATATCAGCCAGTACTTAAAAATAAAATTTAAAATGTTTAAAATGTGGTATTGTGCCATCTCTAGGTGTTAACATTAAAGCTGACATTCTATATAGGGACAACTCCAGGCTGCGTGTTATTGCAGGCATAGTTAATAATCAGTGCGTAAGAGAGTGGGGGGCCTGCGTTTTATTCATGCGTTGGAGTTGCACAGATGTTTTGTGACCATTTGTGCCACAGCAGCTGATTCAGGCAGTACAGTAAATTCTGCTTCCTTTTAAGGACGAGGCCATAGAAGCTGAGTGTCATGGCAGCAGCCGGCAGCTTTGAGACAGTTGCAGTAGGAAATAGCAGCCTGCTGCTGTCGGCTGGAGTTACGTATTGCAGTGCAGCGGCTTAGTGCGTCGGCACACTCGTGCGTTCCATTAGCCACACAGAGAGGCTATTGTTTAGGCCAAGCGCTCTGTTGTTAACACCAGGCACTCTGATCCAAGCACAGGGTCTTCCATCTGTTGCTGTGCAAGGCCGGATTTGGGAGATTTTGCTTTTATTACAGTGTTATTACATTGTAAAATTTTTTTATTCTGTCAACTGTACGTGTTTGAAACTACTTTCTGCTTAGGGCTAAACAAATACAGGGCTTGGCGTTATGCTTTTTTGGGGAGAGAGAGCGGATGTAGCCTACTTAATTTAAATGGTGTTAACTATGTTAACCACTTTCAACCATGTTGTACAAACATCTTGTCACTAAGTCTCTGTCTGTGTTATTTCTCGCACTTTCCTCACTGTCTCACTCACGCACATGTACACACTTCCTTTCTGTCCGCTTACACGTTCACAAGTTCACTCAGGTTTCAGTTAGCATTAAGCCACGAGCTGCAGTGCTAACACTCAACAAAAGTCATTAAAAACCCTGAATAGCATTAAACAAGTCCTGCTTTTTAATTCTATGGAAAATGGTTACCTTTCAGCTAATCTTGCTGCTTATTTCTCAGTTAGAGTGGGGTGCACATAGCAGGTAAAGCAAAATGCCCCCTGTTGTTTGTCTTAGCTGTGCTGATCAAATACATCCTACATTTTTGGTCCATCTTGGACTCGTGCATGTCAGCCATAGCGATTTCTCACAGTTTTATTTAGCCTTGTTGCTGGTGGTCATGATGTGGTTTGAGTGGGTGCAGGCAAAAATTATGCTAGATTTTGTGGGCAGCTATGAGCAAGAACAGCACCTGTTTTTGCAGGTAGGTACGTGTAGGAATGACAGTAGATTTTGGATTTTGGCTGGAACAATACTAGATTTTGCGGGTGGCTGTGGGCAGGAACGATGCTAGATTTTGTGGGTGGCTGCAGGCAGGAACAACGCTAGATTTAGCAGGTGGCTGCAGGCAGGAATGACGCTCGATTTCGTGGATGGCTGCAGGCAGGAATGACGCTAGAGTTTGCGGGTGGGTGCAGGCAAGAAGGGCACTAGATTTTGCAGTCGTGTGTCGTCAAGACGGCTCCTGATTTTGAGGGTGGGGCAAGAACAACACTAGATTTGTGGGCGAATGCGGGCAAGAATGTCACCAGATTTTGCAAGCGGGTACGGGCAGGAAAGACACCATAATTTGCGGATGGGTGAGAGCAAGAACACTACTAGATTTTATGGGTGAGTGGAGGCGTGAGCAGCCTTAGACTTTGCTGGTGGTAATGGGCAGGAATAATGCTAGATCTTGCGAGTGCAGGCAAGAATGGAACTAAATGATGTAAATGGGTATAGGCAGAAACAACTCTAGGTTTTGTGGGCAGACGTGGGCAGGAATGATGCTAGATTTTTTGTGGGCAAGAATGAAACTCGATTTTGCAGGTGGGCACAGGCAACGAAAAAAGATTTTGTTGGTAGGTGTGGGCAAGAACTACGCTAGAATTTTTGGGTGCAGGCAGACGTTATATGTGCTTGAATTGGGCGATTGCGGGAAATAATAATCATTTAATATTTAATAAGTCTGTGCAGAATTCTCTTTTACACTGTTGCTCCAGATATTTAGTTAAACCTTTTTGTCCAATCTTAGTAAACTTATAATTGTCGTATCTGTAGCTTCCAAACTTACTACCTGTAATGTAGCTGAGAGGATCAGACGAACAGTGCAGACTGACTCGGAAGTCCAGTGGTCATCAGTTCAAAGGAGCTCATTTACTTATGGTCATGAGCTGATGCTTCTTAAACGGCCACAAGTTGCTGGGTCCTGACTTACTTTTTTCACTTGTGTAACTTAAGACAAACAGCCCGTTTACACTGTTTTCAGTGTAATTGAGTAATAAGGCCTAATAATAACAAAGCCTTAGGACGTAATACAAGTGGGAATTTAAGGAGTTAATACTGGTTGTCTTTTTTAGCTGCTGACCGTAAATGTGAAATGAGCACGTATCTTTGTGGGTTTCAGCCTACAAGACAGCCGATATTAAAAGAGTAGGATTTATGCATGGAAATATGTTGGATTCTCTTTCTGAGTAGAGACAAATTATCTCATTATTTCTTTAGTGGTGGTGATTTCGTTTAGGAAAAAACCTAAACCCCAAGCTCTGCCAAGTGAAATGTTCTTATTTTTGCTGAGCAGAGCAGCCAGTATTAACCACAGTATTATGTATTCCTCCACACACAGCCAAGTCATTTATCCTTAGTGTTTAGAAGTCTTCAGTAATAAGGGTTATGATGAAGACCAGGTAAAGTGGCTTAAGTGCATTATGATGGTAGAATATCACTGTTTATCATGTTTCTTATGGTGATCTTTTTTCCCCTCTCTTTTTGTTGTGCTGCAGAGACTTTGACTCCCTCTCCAAAGAAAATGTCTATGAAAACAACCGGCTGGTGAGTATCACCCTCAGCTACTTATTTTGCAGTGATGACCATAAATGATGTGGAAATTAGAGGTTGCTGCATAGTGACATCATGGTTAAACCCTAGGGTTTATGTTGTTGTTGACGTCTCACACTTTTCTCAGTGTTTTGCTGCTCTCAGCTTAGCTGTAGGTCTGGCATTTTCAGCAGTAGTGAATAACTTGCTGCAACCTAACATGGGGAAAATACAGATTTTAATGCAGCTAAACAGATTCTAGTAGAACATGCTTACATCTTATCATATTCCCAAATTTCTCTGAAATTTGACAGCATTTGGACAGGATTTTCTCAGGAGTCACCTTGAAAACTGCTTTTTGTATCATAAATGTAACTTTTTTTTCATCTTAATTTTTTTTATAACTCAGCCTGTGTCTGAATACTTCCCTAGAAATGTGAAAGTTAATAGTAAATGAAAACTTACAAGGAACAGTTATTTAGCTGCTCCCCATTTGCTTCCATTCTTATATAGATTCATTAGTGTTTTTTGGGTGAAATATTCTTTTAAACATGTAATGTGGATCATTCAACACATGAAATTTTAAATATCCAGTCCTATCTCTTTATGTAGGATGTATCTGCACTATTATATGAAGTATTAATCTTGTTCAGTAGATTTTGTGATGTTACTAAGGGGACACAGGTCAGTTAAGTAAGTAAAAACCAATTGTTTTACTGTTACTTAGCCTCAAAGTAAGGCTAAACCTACTGACCAGCGGTCACAGCGTGTGACTGTGTCAATGCCAGTCATTATCAGAGTTAAATAACATTACCATGGCTCACCTTTCTTATCGGTTCCCCTGAAAGCTTTGGCAGTTTCATAGGTAAACTTCCTCTCGTCCCAGTGAGAAACTCATGAGGGATAGGAGCTCATAAAATGAGAGTATGGTCAGTCAACACAGCACTAATGAAAGGAATAAAACAAACATGGGCCGTTCTTTGAGATCTGTCTGAAAGTAGAAGTTCTGAGCTAACAGAAGCAGTTTGCAATAGACCTGACTGACCAGTTTAGTATTTTACCACAACATGCGTGAGGTATTCTGTGCACACTGTGTCTACATTTCCTTTTGCCTTTTTTCTCTCCCTACCTCCCTGTATATAAATACAGGGGGTGCAGTAAGAGGGTGGAAGATTGCAGTGATTTTAAGGGCACTGAATTGCACACTTTTGTGTTTTTTATTTATTTATTTTTGCATGTCACTTTTAGGCATTCTGGAAGGTTCCTAACTGAAACGCTTCATTCGTTAGATAATAATTAATAACTAGTTTTAAATATAGTGCCAGCAGCAATCACACCCCTACGAAGTCTCAGTGGTTTAGTTTTTAGCTTTAATCAAGGATTGTAAGAAGAACAAGACTTTCGTTTGTAATTCAAGTGAATATGCCGTCAAAAATGCAAAGCAGAAAGCAAAAACAGCATGAAAAACATAAAAAGAACAACAAAAATAGGGAATACAGTATTTCACCCAGTTTTTCAGAGATAGAAATGGGTTATGAAGATATACTGGAGCCCCTGTTTATTGAACGGAAGCTTGTGCTGTGTTCTGTAACTGCAGTAATCGGAAGTGACGTGATGGAGCTTTGTAAACAAAGACTCATATTCTACTGCAAATGTACAACGTTTTAAAGTTTTTCCTTCTTGAATACGTAAATATTTTCTCAGGGGTATAAAAAATATTGATGCACTTGAGTATCGCAATATTATAATTTGTAATATTGTATCGATTCTCAAAAAACACTCTATTTTGAATTAACAGTTTACATACAAAATTTCATGGCAGACAGTGGTTCATTTTGTGTTGCGTTTAACCTTGACCAGTGTTATAATGTATCTTCAGCCGTAAGACTTATTCTTTCAGTCACATTTTTTAAATATGGTGGTCTGTTTTTTATACTAGGCCAGTTTTTCTAAAATTAGATTTTGGAAATTGCAATTTATTGCTTACAGTATCACAATATATCGCAATATTTTTTAAATCATAACCCTTGTATCATGATTCATATCGTATCACCAGATTCTTATACAGCCATAATAAATCATATACAGCCCTAATAAATAACTTGTATGTTTGTGTTTAGATATCATGTTCTCTTTATCACTAAAATGTAAAGATTTAATCTAAAAGTGAAACCAATGTAGATAATAGTCCAGTGTACATATTCTAAGCCTCCGCTTCTGTCTTTTTGCCCGAGAAAGTCTGAATTAAGACCAGAATACCTCCATCATTTCATGGCTGAATTTCATCTGTAGCTGGATAAACAATTGTGTCTGTGGGCATGTAAGTGGGCTTTAAATAATGTATCTGTTATATACTGAACGATTAATTATAGAGTTTTGCTTTGACTGTGACGATGCTACATTTTTAGGAACATTTTGACCAGTCGAAATACAGGATACAGAAATGTAAGTCATGCTTAGATTCATATTCACAGCTTACTGCGTGCTAAGTAAGAGTTGGAATTATGTAGCTATAACAAGATAAGGAGTAGGGTCGTGAAAACTTTGGCCTATTTTAATGTTGTGACTAGTTCTGTTAAGGAAAATGAAGTGAGGCAAGGTGCCCATGCATAAAGTTTTCAGGCGGCGCAGAATTTCTCCTGGCGCCCCTGTAAATGCGTTTACGACATTTCTTTCTGTTTATCCAACTATCTAACTCTTTATCCCTCTTTCTTTCGCTTACTGTAACCGTCACACTCTCTCTTCTCTCTTTCGCAGGCGTTTGAGGTAGCAGAGAGAGAACTAGGTATTCCGGCCCTGTTGGACCCGGAGGACATGGAGAATATGAAAGTGCCTGACCGCCTCAGTATCATCACCTACGTCTCGCAGTACTACAACTACTTCACTAACAAATCTCACGGTAAGTGTCGATCAGTGCACAAGCGTTGTTTTACTTATTGGCAGTTACATAAATACTCAAACCTCTGGACCCATGTTAGTCATGTTGGACCAGAATTGGTTCTGATCTGGGTTAAATTAGTGCGTTACTGATGTGTGTTGCCTAATTTCTGAATCATTTCAACCAGTAAAACTGGAGGTGACTCTAATGTGATCTGACTCCAGTATAAATATTGCATGGCATCAGATAACATTAATGCAGAGCTTTTGTTCTATCAGGACAAAAGCTCTGCAACAGTAGATAGTATCTCATTAGGCTGAATGAGGCCAGAATGAGGCCAACAGACAAATTTGTGGGCGGGGCAAGGTTATGGATGGGTCAATTCTATTTTATTTATGAAGTTTATGGAATATAAATGTAGAATCTAATTATAGAATATGGTATAGAATATCTGTGTTAATTAATTGTCCAGGATGCTACCTGCTTTCTGCCCAGTGAGCGCTGGGATAGGCTCAAGCACCCTCTGCGACCCAGGAGGATAAGCGGCTTAGATTAATGTGTTAATTATGTTTTAAGTAGCCCTTTATGACACTTTCTATGTCAGTGTAAATTAATCAAGTGCGATAAAATCATAACTTATGATGTTGTGTATATTAAGCTTAATGAACAGCATATCGTTGCTGTCAGAACAAAACCTTGTACCTCCATGTTTGTAGTTTTTCATTTTTATCATGATGTGAAACTATCAGCTGCTCTTTTTTGTTTGGAAGTTATGAATTTCTTGCTGATTGGACCATTAGAAATGGTCAAAATTTGCTTAGAATAAAATCTTAAATTAAGTGTTAAGAATATTTTTTCCTTCTATTGCAAAATTACCATTTTGGAGAGATTCTGTTCCAACTGATATGTTGAACTATGCAAATGCTAATACAAAAACAGCTTAACACTGTTTTAAAACATTTTAAGGCTGTGTCTAGAACATGAAGTGGAATGAGGTAACAACTCCAGTCAAGGATGTAAATTTTGGTCTTGACTCTCAGACATAACAGTTTTTCCTCTTCAGCTAATCCTCCTTGTATGAAGAGGCCTGGTGGTACCAGTCACATTGAACCAGCAGTAAAGAGACCTTCCACTCCTCTAGAAGACAGAACCTCCCAGGCTGAGGTAGGGAGAGACTGTGTTTATGATTGCAGTCCGCATGTAAATATTATACTTTCTGAGTCATAGAGGGGTCTTTCTGCTTACTGCAGTAATAACAGCCTTCTGCATGCAGGCTTACAGAAAATGCTTGCTTACAGAAACAATACTTGTATTTAACAGAGATTGATTGATGCTGTGTGAAGTATTGGATGGTATTATGTCCCAAGAGGTGTTTCTTGGAACATGTCCCAGCAAAGATGCAGCGAGAATGGGCAGGCCTAAATCTGGCCCAAGTCCATGTACTCAGAATCAGGACTAATGTAGCCTAAAAGCCAGTGCAGAAGATCTACTCACTAATAATATCAGGTCCCTCAGGGTGTGGGATGGAGCAGGAGATGGGAGAAGGGTTTTTCATGTTATGATATCTATAAACCTGGGATCAGAGAGAGAGAGTTGGTCTTGGAATATACACCAATCAGGCATAACATGCGCTCATTGTCCATTTTATCAGCTCCACTTACTATATAGGTGCACTTTGTAGTTCTACAATTACCGACTGTAGTCCCTCAGAGAGCAGGTACTATTTGGGTGGTGGATCATTCTCAGCACTGCAGCAACACTGATGTGGTGGTGGTGTGTTAGTGTGTGTTGTGCTGGTTTGAGTGGATCAGACATAGCAGTGCTGCTGGAGTTTTTAAACACCTCAGTGTCACTGCTGGACTAAGAATAGTCCACCAACCAAAAATATCCAGCCAACAGCGTCCTGTGGGCAACGTTCTGTGACCACTGATGAAGGACTAGAGGATGACCAACACAAACTGTGCAGCAGCAGATGAGCTATCATCTCTGACTTTACATCTACAAGGTGGAGTGACAAGGTAGGAGTGTCTAATAGAGTGGACAGTGAGTGGACACAGTGTTTAAAAACTCCAGCAGCACTGCTGTGTCTGATCCACTCGTACTAGCACAACACACACTAACACACCACCACCATGTCATTGTTACTGCAGTGCTGAGAATGATCCACCACCCAAATAGTACCTGCTCTGTGAGGGTCCATGGGGTCCTGACCACTGAAGAACAGGGTAAAAAGGGGCTAACAAAGTGTGCAGAGAAACAGATGGACTACAGTCTGTAATTGTAGAACTACAAAGTCTAGTAAGTGGAGCTGATAAAATGGACGTTGGGCATAGAAACAAGTAGGTGGTCATGATGTTATGCCTGATTGGTGTATAAGTGTATGTTCAATTTTGTTTTTATTTTTGTTTTTATATATTTTTGTATTTTCAATAGAAGTTGAAACAGTAATAACCCATTGCATCAGATGTCTGAACAAGAGTGCGGATCTGAATTCAGTATTCTGCTGATGTAATTTGAGAGACTCTTTTTTAAAAATAATTTTTAAATCCTTTTTCATTTCTGTCAAAAATGCAAAAAAATCTTCCAGGATGTTCCCAAAATTGTCTTAGAGTTGTGTATTTTCTCTTTTCTATGTGAACTTTTTTTCACTCTGCTGAGTGGATGTGAACCTCAAAATATATATGTGACAATGCCCAGACTGACCAGCCTCTGTGTCAAATGTAACTCCAGTTTAGATTCAAGCATGGCACAGCATGGAAATAGCTTTGCTGTAACTGAACGTGCTTTGGAACAATAACTATGAATCTTTCTGGTTTTACAAGAATACACATATCCCAAAACCTTTTAGTGTTTATTTTAAAAGGCCTGAAACCATACTAAATGTATAGTATCTAATAATGCAGTTTTGCTTAACAAGCAGCTCGGCAGATATGTAACATGTTAACAGCCTCTTCCAATAATATTTAGAGTCTTAAGCTGGAGTAGTCGCTGAAAACTGCAACATACAAAGTAAAGAAGAGCTTAAATGCATGTCTTACAAGCTTCAAATGTCAGTTTGTACTAATATATCATTGTACCTGCCATAGAAGCGGTCTAGGAAATAAAGTAAGTAAAAGATACTTACAAAGTAAAGGTTTGAGAATTAAATACTGCTGTATAGTGTGTATAATGTGTGGCATGACTTTACTTAAATGTCCAGTCTCTGTTGCACCCCAAAGCTTAGCAAAATGTAGCATTTCATGGGCTGATGTTGTCCAATCGATTGACAGTTCATGATTATGCAATATGAGGTAAACGCTGATTTACTGTGGTTGTGTAAATGTCATTCCAAAGGGTGGTTAAGGAACAGTGAAAATACATTTCAAAACAAACTTTTGAGGTCATTTTATGCACTCCTCAATGCAAAGCAAATGTTGTGCTGAAACAGAAATGTGCACATAGTTGTAGACACGCTGCTTTAGATTTTTAGATCTGTTAAAGCAGTGATACTAAAGCTGCTCCTCATAAACCTCTAGGATGGTTCCATGTTTTTGCCTAATCCTTACTGCCAGTAGGTATTTATTTATTTATTTATTTATTGCCCGTAAGCAAAAATGTAGACCTGAGGAGCCGTTTGAGGACCACTGCATTGTTGTAAATGAGATATTTAAATGTGAAGAATAGTTTTCAAGTTTAAAGACTATACACATCATGTGAAGCTTCTACATCAGTGAACGTTTCTTCTTAGGACCATGCATCCAAGCTAACGTAGCATTTAGGAACCTTTGTTTTTAAGAGTATTTGAGTATAGTCCATGTTTCTGCTCTGTTCTTCTTCTGAACACACCTTACTCAGGTTACTAGGGCTGAGATAAAGCAAAAACATGTATTACCCGGGAGTCTGGAAGACTGCTTTAGAAACCACTGCTTAGTCATTTTGTAAGCACAGTTTTGCAGCTCTGTACTGTAAAACCCGTAAAGAGAGCTTCTGTATCCTCTCTCTCTGCCTTTTTTCCCGTGTTCTTTCCCTTTCCCCTCGCCCTTCTTTAGACGGAACTTTTCTCTTCTCCCTTTTCTTCCTCTTCTTCCTCTTCCTGTTCGTCTTTGACCTCCCTGCCCCCATCTGACCCTGTGCCTAGGCAGTAGGATTGGTGGGGCTGTTGGGGGGTTGTTCAGATCAGTTAGGTCAGTCTCTTAACCTTCTAACCTTTTGACCTCTGAGGCTGTTAAACATTAATCCCCCCATTTTGACTCCTCATCTTTTAAAGTAGTGCTAACTCTATGTGATTTTTGCCAAAAGCACTAATTATTTATAGTGGTGACGATGATGTTAAGTTATTTTGTATGAACACACATCAATCTAGTGAATATCTGGACAGATGAATCACCGTAACAACAGAAAGAGATACAGTCAATCCATTCATGATCGTGACTCTCCATATGATCTCCCTTGCCCCTTTTCCTCTCCCTCCACCCCTGCCCTCCACTCATGCCCTGTCCTGGTTCCTGATCCGCCAACGCAGTCGAATGCAGATGTCCAGACGAAACGCAGCACGTTGAGCAGCACCTGTGCAGCCTGTGGGAAACATGTTCACCTGGTGCAAAGATTCCTTGTTGATGGCAGACTGTACCACCGCAACTGCTTCAGGTAAGCCTAATAGATTCCCAAAGAAGAAAGCTAAGCATCAGACAATGCAGCTATGGAGCTTTGGCCTGAAATATTAGGAGTAAAAGCTCTCTCAAATGGCGAAATCTTTGACCTTTGAATTGAGCCTGATTATGATTCTTAAGGAAACCATTCAGATTTATCCATATTTGATTTGATTATTTTAATATTCTTCTGTATTATTTTAAAAAATGTACTGAATGTACAAATGTAAGTGCAGGCATTATTCACACATTGGTAGAATATACACAATAACAGCAATACAGCAAAATATACGGAGTGCCTAAATAAATGCCTTGTATTTATGTTAATCTTAAAATGTTCAATGCAAATTCCAATTCTGAGGTCATGATTCAGTTAAACTTAAGATATTTTTTCTTTGTTAAAATGATACTGCAGAGCTCAGCTTATTTCTACACGGATTGCTTGAGCTCAAAATTTCATGATTGTGACAGCCCGACTAGAAAGTAGTAAATAAATGTAAACTGGGGCCATATTACAGAAACTTCTTAAGTCTGAAATCTTATCCTATCTGCTTAGTCACCATGACAACTTAAGTTCGGATTGAATTTAGGACAGAAGCTATTACCGAACAACAGTTCCTAAGTTCATAATCTTATCCTAACTCCAGATAAGAAAACAGTATTACAGAAACATCCTAACTAGACAGAATTTCCTATATTTTTTTCCTAACTTTAAGATAACCCCAGAGCTGTCTTAACTTCTGTTTTAATCGTCTGTTTCTATTTGTTTTGTGCAGTGACAGGCAGCTTAGCTCAGTATAACTGGCATAATGACATTACAATTATCTACACTGAAAATGGTGGGTTTTTTAAAGTGTTTTAAAACCCCAGACAGTGCAGACACAATCTCCACCGTTCCCTCTTATTACCTTCGTGTGATAATGGAAACTCGTCTACAATATTACATCGACTTCGAACGAGTAAGTTAAGATTTCTTAACTTGAGATAAGATGCTGTAAAATAAGATAAGATTCCTAAAATAACTTTAACTAATGTTGGACTTTCTCGGAGAGAGACTTGAAAATGGTTAAACAAACACATTTATATATGTATTTATTCAAACATAAGTGTTTTTCTGAGCAAATAAACACCTATTGTTTTTTTTTTTTAATCTTTTTTCTCAGCTGTCTAAAACGTTTGCAGAGTAATGTAGATTTTATTTTGTTTATATTTACTTTTTTCCTCCTATTTCCGGATGATCACAAGCATCAAATTTTGGAAATCAGTAAAAAAAAATTATAATCTTGTTGTATATTTCTGATCTGTGTTACTAAAGTGTTGGCCATGGCAACGCTACTTCAGTAATGGTACAGTACTATTTATAATTCTACCATTTTTAAGGGTTAGAATGCACTGCTTCCTGTTTCACAAACAGAGCACAGCTTTATTTCATTCTATCAAGTAGGCTTGGGTGAATTGGTCATAATGTCTACAGTATTGACCAATGATATGTGAATGTAGCTGTCCACATGTCAGAGCCTACTGTCATAACTGTATTGTCAAGTTATGAACCTATTTCCTGTTTAATTACAGATGTAGGGAATGCAGCAGCACTTTGTTGCCTGGCTCTTACAAACTCATTGGAGATGCTGGGTCCCTGGTCTGCACGCACCACTTTACTAGGACTTCTTCAACCAGTCAGAACGGTCGTCCGGATCTGAGCAAGCAGGTTGGCCCAGTAGCGCCAAGTGCAAGCCGTGAAATCCCTCCCAGTGGAGGAAGTTCAGAAAACACACTTCCATGTCATGCTGAAGTCAACAATGTCGCTCCATCTGCGGACTTTCCTGAAACAGACACTCTGGAGAGAGAAAATGAACAAGTACAGAATAAGAAAGGAGGGGTGGAGACAGAAGCTGTGAATAGCTCAAAAGATGAGACTGAACCCCGCCCCTCCAGTCCTCCAAATCCTTTTGATGAGTCCGATGAAGAGGAAGAGGAAAGGGAGAACGAGCAGCAAAAGCCAACAACAGAGGTAACCAATGGTGCCCTTCCCCCAACCCCAGTGAAGAGTGCAGAGGAAGAAAGTCGACCAGTGCCCGCCCCTCGAAGGGTGTTTGACCACTCCCCTCCTGCGCGTCCTGTACCCAGGCCTCGGCCACCTAGACCCTCCCAGAGTCCGGCCGTCAATGGTGAGTGTTACTTATTGTCATTTGTGGTTTTCTTATTATGGTGCTGCTGAGCCATACTGTACTGAGCTGGCATGATTCACACTGTGGTTTCAATTGTGCATTTACAAAATAGAATGAATAGAATAGAAAAAGCAGTATTCTGATGAACAGTTCGTCATCCTATTGACAGCACATGAAGCCCTTTTTTAGTGTAGGAAGTTTTGTAGGATGTTTCTTTCATGTTTAATATAGAATGCCTGACAAAAGTTCTGGAATATTTTTTTCTAAATTTAGTGCATATATGCAAGTTTTCTTTCTCAATTTACAAAAAACGTAACATGCTAAGGAGGGTTTGTTTTGATAAAAAACAAAATGACAGCCTTGTGAATAATGCAGTACCCCATGCATTTTATGACAGCACTTATCAGCACTCAAAACTTTCCCTCTTTGGGTTAAAAGAGTTTCAGTATGTGCTTTTAACAGTAATTTCAGGGGGAAAACGCATCATTTTTCGGTAAAACCTGCTCATGCTGCTGTTAAAACATGTTAACAGATCACTTCAAGCAAATCAGAGTTGAGTCTTAAATATTTGGGGAGTGAGTCCAAGTCGAGTTTTAAATCTCTATGTAACAAATCTGTGTCCAAGTCTCGAATCACTGGCGCGCGAGTCCATGTCGAGTCTCGAATAGAGTTTTAGTTTAGTCTCGTCATTAGCTTGTTTGGCTTCAAATAACGAGCCTTTCATTACAGCCAAAACCTGCTGTCTGAATAACAGAACTGAAGCACTACATGCAGTAAATGCAGTGTTTAAAGCAGGGGTGTCAAACTCAACCACCAAAAGGGCCATATTAAAAATCTCAACAGATCCATGAGCCAGCTTTAATTTTCTTTAATTTTTACTTAACACTTTGCTGTGATCCCACCTGGTCATTGTTTGACCAAAATATGCCAAAATTGCAACAGCAAAATAGGCACTGAATACTTGAACTATAATAAATTGTTTTATATAAAACAATAGGCAACATTAGCCACAGATAATTGTTAAACCTCTTTTAAGCCTATTTACTTGAACTAGACAATAGGCATCTTTTCTTTTTGTGTAACCGCTGGCCCATAGATTAATGTTAGAGAAATGGGGTTAGAATGCACATTATGTTGCAGTGCATGCTGAGGACTAAAGTGCAGCTCAGGGTGAAACGGACTGTAATAGCTAATCCAGCTGAAGTTTTAGTAAGTTTTAAAGGACTGTGATCTGTAACTGACTGAAAAAACTCACACGCAAGGTTGGAAAAAAGTTTCATTTGTTTTATTCATTTACCATATTAAGGATGGAAGTCATAATTTTAACCTTTTTTTTTTTTCAAGCTGATTTTGCTAATCAGTCAACATGCATATCCCCATCTTTGACTATGTGTGTTGAAGCAAATATACTTGAGGTTTTAGAAAACTGTTTTATATTAATGTTCTGTAATTTAATTTAAATCTCAAAATAAGGCAAAGTGTCAAATGTTTGACAGACAGTTTTTAACATAACTTTGCCTGTCAATATTTTTTCTTAATTAGGAGATGAACGTGAGCGTAAAGCGTCTGCACAAGTACCCCGGGATAGGTCGTGTTCGCCTGCTGGGTGAGACCAGTGTCCCATGCTTTTTCCTTCTATTGATGCATTTATCCAGATGCATACTGCATGTCCGTCTTGTTTGGTTATGTTTGTCCTGTTTGGTTCTGTTTTTCCTGTTTGTTAATGTCTTCATATGTCACTGTGATCTCCCCTCCCTCTTTGCCATTGTTCGTTTCACTTACTCATTTCCAGCCAGTCCACCGACACTTCTAAACCCAAAGATCCGCCCTGGCTGGCTCTTGTCAAATCAGAGCCCAAGAAAAAGTTGGCTCCTCCTCCTCCTCCTCCTCCTGCCGCTGGTACAGCCACACCTCCACATGCTGGGTCTGTTCCTTCTGTGAAGGAGGAAGAATCCCGCCCTGCTGCCTCTGTGAAGGAGGAGCAGTCTCGTCCAGCCTCTCCCCCTAATCCCTTTGATGATGATGAAGAAGAGCCACAGGCAGAAAATGCAGAGTTGTCGGTCCCGTCCTCTGTGGTCGCTGTCCATCCATGGTACGGGATTACCCAGGTTGCTGATGTCACTGGAACTGACACTCCTCCCAGAAAAGGGAGCCCCGCCCCCTCTGGGAGTCCGGGAAGTGCCAGAAGTAAAAAACGGCTGGCACCCAAAGCCCCGAAATCTTCCTCTACAGGTCAGTTACTGTTGCTGACCAGAAAGGCCAGTTCTGAAATCAGGGTTTTCTTATTGCAGGTTTTGTAGATTATAGTATTATGATGAATAATAGTACCTTTTTTTATAGATTGCTTGAAATACATATCATCTGTTTTTTGAATCATTTTTCACTTATAGTACTGTACAAAAGTCAGAGACAAAAACAGCCAATAAGTACAAGATATTCATTTTTCAGACAATATTTCTGAGCAGATTAGATGTAAGATAATCCACTTGCATAAGGCAAAGGAAGGTACGTGACAAACAGTTGTTTCCAGCCCTGAAGCTCAAAAAAGCATTAAAAGTTACAGACAAAATAACAACCGTGCGAGACTTTTTAGACCACCAAATCTGTCCCCATCAGATAAACAGCGCTTAAAGCTTTCATCTTTGAAAGAAAATCAAGCTGCTTCAGATCTGAAAAAATCCACCGGTGTTTCTGTCCATCCTTTCACTGTGAGAACTCAGCACTATGGGTCTGAAAGGATGTGTAACTGTCAAGAAGACCTCACTGAGAAAAGGACACTCCAGGGTCCAGACCTCAACGTCACTGAATGTGTTTGGGATTATTTGAATCGTGAGAAGCAGACAGTTTAACCAACTTCCATCTCTGCAGATCTCTATTATATTAAGTTGTTAAGTTTTCTTTAATTTTCTATTAAATAAATATTAATAATAATAAATTGAAGGCCATTTGGATTAGAAGTTAAATAAATGAAGGGTGGTCTCGGACTTTCGCACAGTACTTTAAGACACACTAATACTATAATATATGAAACACAGTAATTCTGCAGATTTCAGTACACTAAAGTTAGCATAGAACGTGATTTGGTTTCTGTTGTTTTGTTGCGCCATTAAAGGGAAACTAACTTGTTGTTGTAAATGTTTACCTCTACAAAAGGAGAGAAACCATAGGAAGCAGAAGCGTTAGAGTAGACAGTTACTCTTATAACAGTGGGTAGGTTAATCAATTATAGAATTAATAGTCAGCCTTTACTCTGTTGAGTCCAACCCTGTTATCCTTGCCCCTCACTCTCTCTGTTTATCATCCATTTTCCTCTCATCCCCTTGTTCCACCCTGTTGTCTGCTTGCTACTCCTTCAGCTCTTCCTTCTTCTCAGTCTTCCTCTGCCTGTCCCTCTCCAGCTCTGAGCTCAGAGAGTCTCTCTTCCTCTTCATCGGACCATGGCCTGTCCCGGACCACTGGCGCCTCTGCAGCGCCCCGGCGGCCCTCTGCTAATGAGCAGGAACATCCGTTCACCAAGAGTGTATCAGAACCATCAATTAACAGTCCCAGCTCTGCCAACTCACCGCCTTCAGCTGAGCTTCAGTCCCGCCTCACGCCAAGCCCCTCCCCCTTGCCGCCTCATACCAACACCTGTTCAGCTCCTGCCACTCCAGAGACCAATAGGAGTGCAGGGGGTAAAGGTATGAGGCCGCCCCCGCCCCGCCCTCCAGCTGGTCCTAGTCCACTGATTGGATCTCCTTCCTCACAGCCACCAAGCACGCCCAGTAAGGTGAGCAAAACTATCATTGAGCCTTTTGTAGGATTTGAAGCTTATATAAAAACATTTGTAAACAAAAGTACTCTTCTCTCACAATGATTGAACTTCTGCCTAGCTAGTGATCGTTTGGTTGATTTAGTGATTTATATTTGTGCGTTAGGCATATGAAATTTGACACGTGACTTTTTACTGACCTAAAGAATGGTAAATCAGAAGGCCCACTAGTCTTGCTGGGCCATGTAATCTCATAGAACATCTGGTGACAACCTTGAGAAATTGTGTGCTAAATGTGGGTGGGAACGGGGACTTAATGGCAAACTGAGAAACTGTGAAATTTCTGAAACGATCCGACACGTCATGAAGGTGGAGGCCAAAGTACACTAGTGTGCTTGTCATCAGAGGGATTTGGGGGTGGGTATTAGAAGGGCTTACCCTTGTTAGCAGCACTAAATGTTGAACAAGTTGTCCTCAGACGTGTATTCTTGTTAAGAGCTCATGTCTGGCCATGCAAAAGTATGTTTTGAAAACATCGTTTTTTCCTCTCTGCGTTTTGGCCTCTGTCCGCACAGAACAGCATTTTATGTCACTGAAAAATGAGCTTTTGGAAAACATTTTTAAACAGGAAAGCCATGTCTTTTTAACACAGACAGCATAATGTGGTCATTGCTGTTTCGCTGTGTTGTGCATGCTTCAGAACTACATTCTTAACATAGATGGTGACCGCGCTGTTTCTGTGTTCAGTAATATCAGGTTTGATCATGATGGTACTGACCATGCAGAAACTTATTAAATTAGCTTTACATTATCATCAGAGGGAAAATAATTAAAAAAATGCAAGGAAATGCAAGGAAAAATACAATCAACCTACCTTACCCATGGTCCAATACTTGGACTGCCATGTAAGATTTGTTTGTGTTGCTTCTTTATTATTTCTGAATCTTATTTCCAAGATTGTGTCTAATGTTAAACATTTAATGTTAAATATTGACTTATAACTGCAATTCTTTCCTATTAATCAAATAATCAGATAATTAATTTCTCAATTAATCAAAATCATAAGGGACTCAATTAAGGAAATAATCATTAGTTGCAGGATTAATAGGTATACTTTATTCATTTTTGTTGTTTTCAGCTAAATTCTTTGTACGACAAACACAGAGCACGACAGTCCATTTGTATTGTGTTTTTGTTGGAAAATGCATGTTGTCTGAAACGCATAATCCAAAAGGATAAAGGATTACGTTGCTAAAGCAGTGGTTGTTAAAGCAGTGGTTGTTAAATAAGATTAATGTTTTTGACGTTACCGCAGTGACCTCATTCTTGCAAAAAGTTTCAAGGTGATGAATAATGTGGGCAGACCAGGGAGTAACTGTGAGGTTTCTAAGGTATGCTTTTTGGCTAACTGCAAATATTTCTCTCCCCTCTCTCCTCTCTGTCTCTCTCTTACTCCTGCTCTCTCATTCTTTTTCTTCTCCTTCTCTTTTTCACCACATCAATCTCCATCTGTCATCCCTTTTTTGTCTGCCTCTCTGTATCTCTCTGTTCTCTCTGTCGTTCTCTATCTTTTCTGTTTTCTGCTACCTTTTCTGTCTGCTTTTGATCTCTTTCTCTTGCTCTCTTATTCTCTCTTTCTTACTCTCGGTTTACTCTGTCTGCTTCCTTTGTTTTTCTGTCTCTCTCTCTGCTTTCTCTCTTTCTCTAGCGGATCTGTAAGGAGAATCCGTTCAATCGTAAGGCCTCCCCCACGGTCACCTCTCCGCAGTCCAGACCCCCTAAAGGCCCTCGACCTGCCCGCCCTCCTGCACCTGGACACGGCTTCCCCCTCATCAAACGCAAGGTACTGCACCATAGTCCTTTTAAAGAAGACAGACTAAGGATAAGTTTTGTTTTGTGCCAGTCTTGATCCAAATCCTTTAATATTAAACGTTGTCCTAAACAGAGTCTCATCTGATGTTTCTATTTTGTAGAAAATGCAGTCACACAGTGCGCAAGCCTACATTAAGATGCTGCAGTAAAATCACTTTATTTTGTGTATGTACATGCCATGGCACAATTTATGTTTTTGTTTTTTTGGCTACCTTTTGAAATGACCTTTTTCATGTAGTCTTGAATGTGCTACTTTCATATTTAATATAAAATATTGATGAAAGGTGGGTGACTTAAAGCCCAATTTTGGTTATCACAAGCTTTTTTTGATTCATCACTTTAAAATAGTTTTACATACATTTAGACTGCTTTTTAACTTCTGATAACAAGCTTCAATGCAAGTAGAAGGTAATATCCATTTCTCACCTTTACAACAGAGGTGTAAATGGATCTTAATGGGGTAAAATATTGTATCGTATTTTTAAAGACAGACAGGTACATAAAGGGATAAAAAAGCAACCAACTAAAACTTTTGGGTGGATTTTGTACTATTTTACCATTAGAAACCTATTTAAGAACTCACACATCTGCTGTTTGTTTAAAATAACAAGTTAAATCACAATATTTGTATCGTAATCTTTTTGACCCCGGTTCCTATAAGTCAGTATGTCTATAAGTTTCTCTCCAATGCACCATTTCACATCAAACAATTCTGTATAATTTTGTTCTTTGAACCAATTACCAGTTTTGAAAAGTCAGTGAAATGGCCCTTTGTGAAATGATTTGTAATTGAATTGGGCTGGACAGAAGTGACACTGATCCATGAAAATATGCCCAAATCTGCTCTGATAATGATGGTTTGGGACATCCCTAAATAATTAAATAAAAGAATTTTAAATGCAATTTAATTCCAGTGAAGTTCCACAGTCCACACTTGTTCATTTTTATCTTCCCAAGGACTCGATTAGAAAACACTATTTTTAGAACGTTGCTGTAAGTAAGGTAGTCATAAAGGTGCCCAAAGAACAACAGTGCCCTGTTCTGCTCCTCTAAGCTCACTCTAGAACAATCCTATCCACATCACAGCCCTGTTACATCAGAAATATTATTACTGTGCTTACTGTGTCCTCTCACTGACCATGCAGGTGCAATCAGATCAGTACATCCCTGTAGAGGACATCTATGTGGAGATGGGGACACTAGAGAGGCAGCTGGACGAGCTGGAGCAGAGAGGAGTAGAGCTGGAGCAGAAGCTCAGGGACTGCTCTAACGGTGAGGCATATATAAAAAAAAATGCATAATAATGATCTTTATTTATGTAGTGCTTTTAATTGAAATTACAAAATACAGAGTGGTAAAAGTGTGTGTGTGTGTAAGTCAGAATTGTCCTGATTTCACAAAAGATATGACAAATTGATCCATCAGCAAGAAACGGCAGCATTCACGACTCCAGATGGCAATGAACTGATCTCTGCAGGGCCCTCTACTGTATGCCTTTGGTATAGCACGCTCAGTAAAAGGCAGGCTGAACCGTTAGAGGTTAACTCTTGTTGCTTGTTCTCTGTGAATTTCAGAGGAACATGAGGAACGGCTGCTGGTGGACTGGTTCACTCTAATTCATGAGAAGCACCTGCTGGTGCGCAGAGAGGCAGAGCTGGTCTACACGTAAGTCATAAAGCACACATGCACAGTTTGAAAAAATCTAATTTATTATACACATTTCAGATAACAGACAAACTTTAGGCTTCAAGACTGTTCCTGTAAAGGTCCTGTATGTATCTCATGTTTAAAGTCCATTTAATGTTTGCTGAGCTTTTCATACCTTGGCTTCAAACAGTTATTTGAGAGTGAGGAAATTGTTACAGAATCGAAATTTAGTTTAGAAAAATATCACTATTATCTTGTGTGGGGCAATCAAGCAAGTCAAAACTGATTTGTTTCTGAACTTCAGGGCAAAGCAGCAGAATCTGGAGGAGAGGCAAGCAGACGTGGAGTATGAGCTGAGATGCCTCCTCAACAAGCCAGGTGGACATTTGTGGGGAAACAACCAAACAACATGTAGTCACAGTGACTGAATTGTCTGTCTAAATTACTGACTTGTACATGCATTTGCACCTTCGCTGTCATGCAAAAACCTTGTATCTCCTTTTTTGTTTTGTTTTTTTACTTTTTTTATATTTGAAAATCCCAGTTATCCTTCACATTGTGTTAAAATTTCATGATGAATGGACCAACAGAAATGGTCCTAAATTACTTAGGAAAATCTTGTTACATAAACTTCCATTACAAAACATTTCATGTTCTTCTCCTATAAAGTTACCATTCATGCTATGCATATACACTAATATATATGGCAGAAATCAGGGCTCAATATCTAAATGATGAGGCGCATCAGACATGCAGCTCAGTGTGAGGTTTTCCCATGATTTTGGATCTTACAGCTAGTATGTTGTTGACGAGGTTCTTGAGCATCAGGTGGTTTTTGGTGTGTTTGTGCAGCATAAATAAGCAAAAACCACAGATAAAAAGAACTTGCAAATTACTTGACGCATTACAAATTCTATTTTTATATATTGGCCACTTTATTTTTATCAGACTGCCACTTTAACCATTAACTGTAACTATGGGACATTTGTTAAGCATTTTGATTTCAGAATGAGCACTGACCAACTGTGTTTTTCACTATAAAGAGCATAATTAGTCCTGTTTAATTGGATTTTGTACAGTGCAATGTGAAATGTTGAAATGAACTCGTGACAAAGTAAATTTTGAATGTTTTTAAATATAGCACTATTAGTGAATTATGTCTGTGCCAACATTTTGTGATGTGTATCATGAAAATGTATTTTGGGAATTATAGTAAGATTTTTTTTTGCCTTCCTAATTAAAGAAACAAGTGTTTTTGCCATTAATTCATTTGCAATTTCTCTTTCTTTCTGGCAGAGAAAGAGTGGAGCGATGATGATCGAGACAGGGAGAAGCAGTTGATGGCTGAGCTAGTCACCATCATCGAGCAGAGGAACCAGATCATCAACAGCATGGATCAGGACAGACAGAGGTGATTAATTACCATGAACTCATACCCATAAACTGTCACAGTCACTCCGATCTGGCAGTTGAATTTGAAGTGGGTACAAGTAAGTCCCAACCTCAGGGTCATAATCTTTATTTTTCTCCAGGGAAGAGGAGGAGGACAAGCTAGTGGCAGCCATGCTGAAGAAGAAAGGTGGGGGCTTCTCAATTTCTCTTTAATTTTTTTCTCTTTTTCTGTCTGTCTCTCTTTGTGTTTAAAAGCTGTGTCTTGTCTCTTATTCCAGAGTTTCATGGCGAGAGTGAGCCCAAAAAGAAGCCTGCAAAATTTAAACCCATGAAGGTGTTGAGGAGGCTGAGCACAAAAAGCGACATGCCAAAAAGTGTGAGCCCACGGAAGGAGAAAAGCTCGGGAGTTGGGACAGAGAGAGATAAAACTTAAGATAGATAGTTCGTCTAACTCTATTTATACTTCTCTAAGCAAATGGCTGGGAGAAACTGACAACATGAACATTTTTTCTCCTCTCTTTTCTTCAGCATTTATCCAAAAACTGTCAATTATCAGCATAATTTATGTTTTTAAACTTAGCTTTGTGTATAGATGCAGTATCGTAATAATTAATGAAGAAAATAGAAGACTAAGGTGTCTTTATCCCATAGGGTCTGACTCGAAAATAAGACTAACTTTAAGTACTTTACCTTCTGTTTGAGAAGCAAGAACAGTTAAAACTCTTGTTCTTGTTAACTATTTGCAAGAATAGTCACTAGATATGATAAACATTATTTACCATTGAACAGGTGCACCACGTTTCAAAGACATTTAAAAAGGGAATTCCATCGATTTTTTTTATTTATTTATTTTTTTTTAAACATTTTTAAACACAATTTAATGGTTGAGATGTAAACAAACAACCAGGGTGGATGGATGTGAAATGGTTCACTGTAAAGAAGGTAACTGGCTCAGATTTCCTTACAGTGGTGGTGATAGGAACCAGGGGTCATGATGTCTACAACTATAGCCGTTTTATTTACTATACAGAACCACCAGTCAACCTCCATGTGTCTTCTGAGTTTTTATATGTAATGTTGATAATGGTGAAATAGTGAAAAGTTTTCTTTGAGGACTATTTTGCCTCTTAATAGCCAGCATGTCTCACTCCTCCATGGATGTGTTTTAAAAATATATCATCTCAAAAGTATCATAAAACAGTGTCTCAGGCATCAGGCAGCACATTTCTAACCATTTCATGTGATAACTTTCTGTGAGGGAGCTTTTAGAAGTATCAGACTCTTAAGACGTGTGGTTCCCATCATCACCACTATGAACAGTTGTGACTTGGTAAGCTTCTCTAAAACGGCCCATTTCACACCAAACAACTTTGAATGAATGTTTACATCTCATTGATTGAATTATGCAAAAATATTGAAAAATCGGTGCAATTCTTTGTTTAATTTCTGTTTGTTCATTAATGCAGTTTTCTATGTACAACATAAACTGCTCTCCTATATTTTCAGGATGTATACAGTGTATATGTGTGATCATGCCTGACTATTTTGGAGAATAGCTAACGTGGAATTGCTTGTTTTCTTCAATGGCTGTACTCGTGTACATTCTGGTGCTTGTGAGAGATGAGGTTACTAACTTCACTGATGCAAACTCTTATGCAAAGCTCTGACTCCATGCTGCACTGTGGTTCCTGTCTGTGGTGTTCTCAGCAACATTCACAGAAGTTTTATATAAATAGTGTGATGCCAGTCAAATTTCAGATTTTATGATAAATTCTTGGTGGTGCAGATACTAACTTACTCATTAGCTCCATTTAATATTGGGGCGTATTAGCAATACAAACAGTTAATCCAGCTAATTCAGCACTCAAGACATGGACTAAATTGTGGATTCTTATTGGAAGTTGGTTCAAGTAATAATTAAAGGAACACTCCAGCACTTTGGACCTAATCTTTGTCTGCTGCATCTGTATTGAATCTTTGATTACTATGGACAATGGGCCTCATTCAACAATATCTTCCTAACTTTTTTCTTAATTGTTTTCTTGAGAAAGAGCCTAAGAAAAAGTATGTATGTATGTATGTATGTATGTATGGTGAATGTCAGATGTCTTTGTGAAAACTGTGTAAGTGGGTTTTAAGAAGAAATTTCTTCTTAAAAAGGGTTGTGAATGAGGCCCAATAATTTTGATGCGTTTACCTGTAAATAGTAAACACATCTTTTTATAAAACATTCAAGAATTCTTCAAAGGTATTTATAATTTTAGCTGCAAGTCTGTATAATTAGTTCTTTCGGAGAGTTTTGAATTTGCACAATATCGGTGCATATTTTAAAGTGCCCATTGGCTTCTATAATGAGTGAGTCAAAGGGTTTTTAGTTTTTTCCTTAATACAGGGAAACAGATCAAAAGTCTTGTCTGTGGTATTAGATGGTACAATACAAATGCGGCAGATAGAGATTAGGTTGAAAAGTACTGGACTATCCTTTTAATGTAATTATCATATTATTACAGCATTTAAGGCTGAACGTGTCTGGGTATGCAAAGTCAGCACCAGAGCTATGTGTTGTGAGGCCTATAAATAAGCATAATTCATCTCAGATTCTTTGGCTTAAGCTATTTAAGTAACCAGAGACCACAGTTTCAACATAGTTCTGAACTTAAAACTAGCAGCGTCATTGGTGGAAGAAAACAAGGTGAAAGCAAAATGAAAGAACTTTTTAAATGTAGGAATATTTTATTAACATGAGGTATTAACAGAAGTTGCTTACCATTTTTGGAAAGCTTGTAGGCAAATTTGCAATATAATATTTATGTTCTTGAAATGCTTTTCCTGGTTTGTTGTGGAATTTGTCAGTCTTAGTTCTCTGTCGGGCCTTAATTTCAAGAAAGACATGAAATAAGAGGGTGTCTAAAAGAGTGCCATTATTTTATTGTATTTATGTAAGAAATCTTTATGTTGTAGAACATGTACATCTGTGTCTTGATAACTGTTGACATTTTCTTTTGTATTTTGTCTCTTCAGCAAGCTCTTATGTGTTGTGTTAATATAATACCCATATTCTGTCATTATGTTTTTGTGCCTCTAATATCTCAAACCAAGGGCTTTTATTGCATAAAAACACAATATTGTGTTAAAAAAAAAAAACGATGCACTTTGGTTTGGATGATAAAATTAATAAAACAGATTAATGTAACTAAATCATTTTCTTTCTTGTTTTTCCTCTTGTCTTTTTTCCCCATTTTGGTTTTTGCACTAATCCCATGAAAAAAGTAATGGCCCCTTGGCCACTGGGTCAGAGAATGTATGAACAATAAACACCAGGACCTAAAACTCAAACCCAAAACCCTTGAAAAGCAATGTAGCATTAAATAGGCAGCATCATTTCAGTTTGCAGTAATGTTGGTAAATCCAGGTACACAGCTGGCAGACCTCTGTTTATTTACAGCTGCTCTTCACTTGTCCTGTTCTCTCTCTTTCATCATGAGTGTCGTCAGCTCCTCGCTGCGCGTCCTGTCGATCAGCTCAAGCTCTCGGACTTTCTGTTGGAAGAAGGAAGAGCACACATCATTGAATCTTAGGTCGTGTTCATAAATACTGTTGCTGTCAAGTCAGCCTGAAATCAAATTTGTCATTATTCATATTAAGCACAATTCATCATATCCAGTATTGTGCAAAAGTCACCCTTCATTTTACTTAATTTCCAGTCAAAGCAGACATGTTTAACAGAACATTTCACAAACCACCAACAGCTAAATGTAATATCACATTTTCAGCTTCATTCTTTTAAGGAGACTCACTTTCAGTTTTTAAAGAAATCTGCATGGATATTTTTCTACTCCAAAGTTCAGTCTTCACAGTGATAAAACTCTGGATGACAATATCACAGTATTACTATACAATATTACTACAGGCAGTGCAAGTTAGGGGTCATAACTTCTACGATCCTGGATGTTTGCATCACACATGGTCATATGATCACGCTCTGTCTGTTGCGTCAAATGATGCTGAACATATTAAGTAATGATTTGATGATGCTGTGTAGCTGTATGTAAATATTAACGATTTATGCATATAGCTAATAGCAGACTGAGTAAATGGTTGGAAAACTTTTTGAACAGCTACACATCCTTTCACACCCATAGCGCTGAGACGTCTTCTCACAGTGGAAGGATGGACAGAAACACCTGTGGATCTTTTCAGATCTGAAGCAGCTTGATTTTCTCCTCTCTCTCAAAGATGAAAGCTTTAAGTGCTGTTTATCTGATGGGGACAGACATGGTTGAGTCCCACTTTACTTTTTTGAAACTCCTGTTTTTTCACTTTGACTTTCCTCTTCAACATGCAAGTGGATTGTCTTCTATCTAATCTCAGAAATATCTTCTGGAAAATGATTACTCAACTTGATCTAAAAAGTAAATAATTACTGATTTTGCCCAGTAATGTATATGATTTAAAAGAGAAAATTCCTGTTTTCCTTAAATTCTCTATCAAAATCAAATGACCTTTGTCCGTCTTCTGAATTTTGAATACGTCACTGTGCATCAGCTATTTACAGGTAAATGCATCAAAATTATTGAGCCTCATTCACAACCCTTTTTAAGAAGAAATTTCTTCTTAAAACTCACACAGTTTTCACAAAGACATCAGGTAGGGATTAATAATAAAAACCAATAATATCATGCAGCTGGCATTTTTTTGAATCAATTTGATTGCAAATGGTGCAGCTGTGCTCATCTAGGAATACAGTGCCCATCAAACATCTGGAGCAGGCTGCCCAAAGTGTGGTCCTATTATTAAAATAATGCTATACATTAATCTTTTAAAAAGCTATTTGAAACCTATCAGTTTTTGCAAATTGATGATAACATGCAAAAGCTAGATGTCCCCAAACTTTTTTTAGGTAGTGTAAAACATTAGGTAAACTTGTATAGAAGCATCTGCCCTAAATGGGTTTGCTTCAAGTCGAAGGGGTGCAGCAGAGGTCCCAATATGTGTGTGTTCATGGTAGTCATGTGTATCTCAGTCTCAGTACCTGAGATATCTGAGAGTTAATGATGTGCTGGTAGTGGTGTCCCCTTCCAAGAGCACTCATCTCCTCCAGAAACTGCCTCCTCTCCTCAATCTCATCCAGAACTGTGCAGTAAGGAAAGAATATAGTTTTCTCTGCATAAAGTTAGATACAGTACAGAGCAAAAGTTGCACGCTTCTGGTCAAGACATGTTTAGTTGATTTTTCGACATGAAAATAACACATTCTTTACAGAGAACACACTCCTGCACATTTTTATGCACAATTACTGTTTATTTGCTGAATTTAACATATTGGGAAAAAATAAAACACAAAATGTGGTCTGTGCAAAAGATATGACACATTTTATTACCAGCCTTTCAACCAGTTTTAACCAGTCTTTACCATTTTTGTAGAAAAATGTCATATTTGAGTGTGTTCTTGTAGAGGACGTTAACTTATTTTCTCTTAAATCAACAAACTGACTGTGATGTTCAAACTTTTTTGCATGCAACTGTATATTCTACTACTGTGAAAAGTTCTTTAAATTTTTAAATAACTGAACAGAAAAATAATCAAATTGAACTGTGAATAATTATATAAATAATATTAATCAGACTGAATTATGGCGAGGTCAGAGGTTTAAAGCACAATGTTGTGGACGGTGTGATACAATTTTGTACATATAACATGTACTGCTAACTGTATGACTAGTCTCACCTTCCTGAAACCTGTCTGTCTCTCTTCCCTCTCCTCTCTCAGGGGGCTGCTGGTGTGAGAGAGAAGGCTGTGGTTCCTCCTGGCCTGTAGCGAGGATGCTCTGCAGTCGGTGTTTCTCTTTCTCCAAATCCCCTTAAGCCAGAGTAGACAGAGAGCGGGGGAGATGTGTTATTATGCTGCATGTAAGATGGTGAATAATGAATCTTAGGCTGACTGAACTGTCTTAAAGCAGTAATCAGGCAGGAGGACTAAGGTTGGCATACAGTCTTGATGATTAAGCGTAAATAATTTAACACATCTTCTACAGCAAACACACTTCTGCACATTTTAATACACAAGTTTATTTGCTGATTTTAACATGATGGAAAAATATTAAATAGCGGCCTGTGCAGAACTTATGGCACATTTTTCCCAATATGTTCAACTACATAAATAAATACAAACTGTGCATGAAAATGTGCAGACAAAAATGTAGAGGATGTGTAACTTATTTTCATTTAGAAAATCAGCAAAACGTAATTTGAGAAGGGATGTTCAAACTTTTGCAGTACTTATCCCCTGCCTGATGTGGAGCAGTCTGAACAACACCATAATAATAATAATAATAATAAAAGCTTTATTTATAAGTTTTATTATTATCATTACTATGCATACTATTTATAATATATAAAATATATATAATACATTACATACAATTAATAAATGTTATTATAAAGTTGATGTATTATGAATGATTGATTATTAGATTATCTATAAATATCTAAACGTGGTTCAGCTAGAAATGTGCTAACAGAGTAAACTAGCTTTAACGGTGTAATAATCAGAGGTATTAGATACTCACGTGTTGCGCTGGGTCGATATTTCTCTCGTGAGTAGTTGTCTCCGGCTCTACATTCCTCAGCGCTGCGTCTTTGCGGCCTGGCTGAGAGAGCAGGACCGTTACTGACCCTGAGCTGGGGCTGAGGCTGGCATGGTGGGGCAGATGAAGTGGGGTTACAAACCAGAGGTAGGGCGCCCCCTTCTGGTACACCAAAGAAAAGACAATGATTGAGGAAAGTGAACAGACTAAGCTCTAACTTCAGTAACACATGGATCATGACATTCTTATTTCTTACTCTTCAGCTGGCTGTTGATCTGTCGCTGCTGAAAGCTGGTGAGTCCAGATTCTTGCATCATCACTGCAGAACAAATAGAGTAAACAAACTGACTCGTGTTAGGATGGATTGAAATACGTCATCATCATCATCAATGTGGATCAGAAAACGAACAGCATAACTGTCTCCCATTTTGGGATGGATATTATTTTATGATCAACTGAATCTATTTTAGGACAGGATCTGCACCCAATGTCCATCAGGAGAGACAGTAACTGAGGACCACTTTGTTCATGTTCAAAATACAAAACCATCAATAATAAAACAAATTAGAATCAATAGATTTAGCAGGACAGTTTATTTATAACTGACACAAGATCTCTTCAGTTATCTAATCGGTATTTCTGATTTCTGATGTTCCTTAATTTTTCATGTTTATCTTATTGTTTATTACTATTATTATTAGTATTGTTATTAATATATGTATAAACATATTTGTACTTCAATTTTTATAGCTTTCTTTTCATTAGATAGATAGATAGATAGATAGACAGATAGATAGATAGATAGATAGATAGATAGATAGATACTTTATTGATCTCAAAGGAAATTTAGCATTATTTATCTTTATTAACATATTTTATTAATTTACAGATTAATAACTCAATTTAACATGTATTGTACAGCTTTGGCAACACAGGTCTCATATCCTGTCATGGCAATAAAGCATATTTGATTTGATTTTAGGATGGGCACAACCAGGGCTGTTTCTGAAAATTTGGGGGCCCAAAGTGTAATCTGCTGGGAGAGCCCCCACACCCCTCCTTCACCAATCATATTCTTTTGTATGTAAGATTTAATACGTACTTCATTTTATATACAAAGAATGTAAGAAATTCTTTTAACTCCTTGCATTTAAATAAATAAATAAATAAATAAATAAATAAATAGGTAAGTAAGTAAGTAAGTAAGTAAGCGGGTAAGTAAGGAAGTACTTGTGGGTCCTGCTTATAAACGGCCCTGGGTACAACAAACGATCAGCACACATACTTTGCATTAACTGTCTGGTCTCGTCGCTGTATTTCACTCTCGGATGGTTCCTCAGCTCCTCGCTGCCGTTGGTGTTTTCGCCCATCCTCTTCATCCAGACCAACCAAAGCACGAAGCCGAATCCTCATAGAGAACCTAATAAAGTATATAAGCTCTGTAAAATAATTCAACACTTTAACACTAACAAAACACTCGCGGTTCTGATGAAGCCAAATGACCAAAAAAGTCACTCAGTTTCGCTTAGTCTAGGAGTGGAAACGTTGCTATGGTTACCGGAACACAGTGGGAGGAGCGCCAGTCTAACTTATGACCAGCAGATGGCGCCAAAATGCACGTTTTTATCCCGCTAAAACAAACCCGCCGCTTACTACCATACTAAAAATATGTCAAAAACAGGACACCACCAATAGAAGTCCATTCATTAGTGTAGTTTGTGTAGTATGTGGTTTTGGACGCAGCTCCAGGCTAGTTTCTGACAGTAGTATCCAACTGCAGGACCGCAGCACCGCAAGTTCAGACCCCACACTTTCAGCCCAGGACTCTCAGCTCCCTGCGCCTCTGCTTAGGAGCTGCAACCGCACTTTCAGCTCTAGCGAGGACGGCAGTTCTTCAACACTACTCTTATTAGATGAGAGAAACCATTTTTATAAGAAAACCATTGAAAAAATTTGATTCTTTTCTTTTCAGGCTATCATTAAACATGCACCAGCGTCAATTATTACTGATTATCCACACGGCCCGCCCACCGTCTTCCAGCCAAGACCACGCCCAGACGTAGTGTTTTATTGCATGATCACATAGGCTAGATTCCAAATTGCTCCCTGTTCCCTGTGTAGTGCACTATGTAGGTCATCCGGTAATGGTTGTTTCACCCATACAGCGCGTTACATGTCGTGGAAAGCAAATATATTTTTGCCACTTGAAAGGCTTACATGTGTCCGTGTTTCAGACAGAAGTAGCATCAACACAAGGCTGAGTCTCTAACGGCTCCTTACTCCCTACATAGTGTGCTAGCTTTGGAGCTTTAGAAATTCTAGCCTCTGCAGCCAAATAGTGCATCATTTATCACGTATGTATATGAGTCCCAGATGTCTTAGTTAACTTACCTACATTATGCATTGTTGGGGTGCAGGATCCATAATTTTAATTCCTACGTAGTGCACTATGTAGGGGACAGGAAGCCATTTGAGATTCAGCCCCAGTGTGGGAAGAGGGGCGCCGTTGGTTTGACGCTAAATCAGACTCGGTGGTAATTTTGTGACCAGAAGGTAATTATAAAGCGAAAGTTTTGCAGTAAACAGTGCTATGTTATCATATCCTCATTGTTATGCGACAAGAAGTTAAAAAAATGAAATAACTGCAATATTCAGCAATGGGCGACCGAACGTGCTCTTGATTCAGCGGCCCATGGTTGCTTGGCACTTGGCACTCTTAAGGACCTACATTTCTTGGCGGAATACATTTTATTAATAATAATTATTTCCTGAAAAATGTGTCTTCACGTGTTATATGTGGCCGCAGTTTTATATAAGAAGTAAGCCACTTGAGGCCATGCGTTAGTGCACTGAATAAAGTGTCCAAAAGTTTGTAGACAGCTGTTCGAACAGCATTTCCATTGACAGGGAGTTAGTCCTCCTGTTGCTGCTGAAGCTCATTCATATTTCCACTGTTCCACAGCCCAATGATAGGGGTCTTAATACCCCTTTAGCCCAAGCGTGTCAATGGTCATGGTAACCTTAGGCACATTTGTGGCTTCTCCAGAACGTCCCAGCAATGGGTGAACCTTTAAGTAGCTGAAATCACTAATTATAAAGTGGAGTCTACAAACTCTTGGACACAGTGTATGTAGAGGTCAAGCTCAGCATCATATATTCTGTTTAAATTATATAGATCCTGATGTATAGCTATTATGCCCAACCACTAGTGTTACTACCTGTTTTCTCATTACCTGTACCTGAGAAAAACCTTACTGGTGCTGTATGTACAACTGGACTTTCTCTTCTTTGAATGTTTCTCTATGAATTTTTCTTTTTCATCTGGATGTTCTTCCTGTAGTCATGAGTTAAAAGATAAAAAAGCAGGATGGACAAAGGTCTGGTACAGAATTGTTTTATTTATTGAGTTGTATTGGTCGTCTCGAACTGTCCATTTACCGAATGACGTCAGAGTCAGCGGGGTTCGGATGTGGAGTGTTAGAAGAGTCTGTTATAGCACTAATGGGGCCAACCAGCCCTGTACTTTTCAACCAAGCAACATAGAAATATTAAAATAGATATATAGAAAGGCACATATTTTGTCAAAATACAATTTTGGCATGCATTGGCTTACAAATAAAAAAAAAAAATCAATAAAATCGGAAGCAAAAAAAAAAAAGGTGGTAAACTTTCCAAAGCTTTGACCTTATAAAGTGCCTGTTCCTTTGAGAGCAGGACTCACAGTATAAACGTTCCTGTTCCAACAGTCAAAAAAAAAAAAGATAAAAAAATTACAACTATAATTAAAAATAAAAAGAAAATTGGCACAGGACACAGGCCATGTAAATACACTTACACTCATAAATACTCGCTCACTGAAAAACAGCAACAATGCAAATGCCTGTTTGGTCCAACATACAGTAGCAGTCTGCTTGAGTACAGTGTTTATCTAGGCTTGTCCTGAGAGACAAAGAGAGAGAGTTAAGACAGTAAAGAAAAACCCTCGTCCGTCCCGACGTGTCACCAACCAGCATGGGAGCAACAGGAGAGAGCGGAGGTTCAGGTTTTGGCACATGTTTGCTGTGTATAACAATACAAGCACTTCTTTAGATCATGCCCTCGAAGCTGAAAAACACCCGATGTTTCTCTGATCTAGTGCCAGAGCATAAACTACAAGTTAAACAGCAAATTATCCATGGCTGGCTTACAAGCAAATTAAAATATAATGGTTAACCTTGTACTGGCTCTCATGTTAAGCTACAAGGTAAACAAAATATCAAGCACAGTGCACAAGAAAGAATTAATCAGATTTAAATACACAGAACAAAAAGCACCCTGCAAATTCCTCTCCATCCTGCCGCACTTCAAGTATGTGCTCCACACTTAGAATTAGCAAACCGAGACTCGACCTGTGCTCAAAAGGGGGTTGAGGTTCGGGAAGTACAACTTCTGAAATACATGCAGCGGATCTGGATTTCTAGAACTTTCTGCTGGATTTGCACAAATGGACTGAACTGCTTTGCTAGAGCTGCATTATAGGTTCTAGACTTTACAAAGCTAGACTTTACAGACACGGAGCTTCCAATTTCCTGACACTTGTGTACAATGAGGTGAAGGTTTCTGAACCCTGGTTATACTGAGTCTAGGTTTGTTTGGGCTTCCAGGTTTTGGAGAAAACAGTAGTTTAGCCACCCTAAAGGTGAGAGAGGCCGGAACCAGACAAACGCACACACAGGCGCTGCTTGTTATGGCCGTGCAGAAAGAGAAACGCATCATTCCAGTTTATTCTGGGCAGAGATGGGCAAAGAGGGGCAGCGCTGCCACCTAGTGGTTCAGGAGGATAGTGGCACACATGTATATAGGGCTCATCTGGAGAGTTTGCTGATAACGCGGATCAGTGCGGCATTCTCGTCTTTCAGCCTCTGGTTATCAGCACGAAGATCGACAAGAATCTGCAGGGAGAGAGAGAAAGAGAGAGAGAGAAGGTGTATGGGAAGGGGAATGTGACAGATGAGATGGTGAGAGAGAAAAGTAAAAAAAGAGGTTGGTTTAAAGGGGAACTCCACCAATTTTCTTAAAGTTTCTGCATAGTTTAATTATTAAATTGTAAACAGTCAATCAGAGTGGTTTGGTGTAAATTGCTCCATTCTAGAGTCAGAACTGTTCACAGTGGTGATGACAGGAAGCTCTAAAAGCTCCCTCACAGAAAGTTATTACATGAAATGGTTATGAATATGCTGCATGATGTCTGAGGCGTTGTTATACGGGCGCTGTAAGGCAAAATGGGTGCCCAAAGAAAATCCATTATCAGCATTACATATGAAATAAACTTGGAAGACACTTAGATTCACTGGTGGCTATATTTGTGTCGTAGACATTGTGACCCCTGGTTCCTATCACCACCACTGTAAAGAAATCTGAGAAAGTTTCTCTACAATGAACCATTTCACATAAAACCACTCTGAATGACTCTGTTTACATCTCAACTATTAAACCGCATCAATTTTTAATCTGTGCAATTCCCCTTTAAATACTAATGAATTAGGCTTTAAAGTGATACCTTGGTGAAATAAAATCGAATGTACCTCTCAGCAGTTTAGCTCCACCCATTCACACTGAAGCTACAAGGAGCATTTCGGCTCTTACAACAAGCATTTTGGCTGTTTTTTTGAATGAGGCACAATACAGGGCAGCCAATCAGAAGCATACATTTATCAGTCACAGTAACAAAAACAACCTGTTTAGTTGTAAGGGATAAAGAGAGGTTGGAAATGGTTATTTAAAAATGAATTATGACTATGTTTGGTACATAAATTTGATACATGGACCCAAGGGGAAAAAATATGAGAAAAAAAATTAGAAAAATATAAAATATGGGCATATTAAGACTGATATATGGAAATGAACTCTGGTCTCATTGGCTGCCTGTATCGGGCCTAATTCACAAAGCAGTCCAGTCTGAAACATGAATGAGCTGGGCTACAGTATTATAGGCTGAATTGGCAATAAATCTAAATGAATTGTTTTTGTGTCATCACAAAAATAATGAAATCAAGATGGGCTGGTTTGGCAGCTTAGACTGTATGGACTGAGCATTGAATGAAACCCTCATTTGACCAAAATGATTACAAATTAGCCTTGTAGCTACAAAACTTAAGAAGTACTCTCCAGACACCAAACAGGTCTTGACTGATTGATATTTGTTTATATTTGTTTATAGATTTTATAAATTTGATGGTTGGTTGAACCATCACTTTAAACAGATTTACAGCTAGATATTATAAAGACCAGCTACCATATTAACACAGTTTACCTTAAGCTCATCCTCCAGTTCGGAAGCTTTCCTCTGAAGTGCTTTCTTCTCCTGTAGTGCACACAAAGACATGAGTTACTTTCACTTTGTCTCCCACTCCACAGATTCAGCCTGGCTTTCCCCTAATAAACCTAATTGTATATGGTTGAGGCATCTATAGAGTTACATTGCTTCTTTGATTTCCATGTCCTGTATTTATTGCTTCTAGCTGCCGTCTTCATTTGAACTGTCCTCAGAACTGACTAAAAATAACTGGAGAGAAAACGACGTCCAGCTGACATAAGGCCAGACACCACCAGTGAAAGCTTGCTAGATTTTTTTTCCAGAGGAAAAGTGAGAGACTGTGAGAGAAATGATAGCTGGCAGCTGAGTAGAGCTGATTCAGACCACATATGCAGCAGAAAGGGAATGAAGAATAAAAAACACTTACAAATCTCTCCAGCTCCAGTAGGGCAGGTCGCTCACAGCCATTTTCCTGATTCTGAGTGTAAACAGAGACAGACAGATGTTATAATGACTGTAAAAGTTTTATTATTAATTAAAAAAAAATATATCATATACTATTATTTATTTTATATGTATTCCCAATCCATCGCTCACAACAGCTGAACATGCTGACTTCTAAGTTGTTTTAGAAAAAAGGTTCCGCTAATCCTTTAGTTGTAAAACAAAATGTAGAAAAATATTTTGGGCTTGTTTTTTTTTTAAAGATTTTTCAGATCACTTCTCCACCCATTCCATCTGCAGAATCTGCAAGCACACCTGTCTGAGTCGCTCCAGCTCCACTTTGCTCTCACTGAGCTGCAGCTGTGTCTCTTGGAGCTTCTCTCTCAAAGTAGCGTTCTCCTTCAGCACCTCCAAATACAACTGCAGAAAGGGAGACAGAGAGAAAAAAACAAAAAGAGAAAGAACAGACACAAATAAAGTTAGCTCTTTAATAAAAAAGAAACCCCCCTTTTCCATTAAATCAAATCGTGTCTCACTGCGGTCACTGCATTTATTTTGATGTGCAAAGAACATGATTTAACAAAGCTAAAAATTAATAGATTTTTAAATGTGTCACAAACTACCAATTGAGCAACACAAATGCAGAGGAAAATACTTTAGTAAGGTTTATTGTTGTTTTTTCAGTAGGGATGTGAATTCCATTCTGAATATGTGTGGACACTTAGAAACTCTTGCAGTGCATCCAACAATAAAGACAGCATGAAGCTTCTTTTATACAGTGATAAACAGAGTAGCACACAGAAAACTCCAATTTCGCATGCTCATTCATTTTACTGTGACCAACTTGGCAACTTATCTAGGGGCAGAGGACATAAAGGGTACAAGATCAAAGTCTTTGCATGTGTCATATTTTTTAAGCATCTTATTAAATAGTTCAAACAATACTTTAGAAAAATTTACACAAATTTAGCCATACCTTTCTAAAATCCAGTGATAAAGACAGTTTTCTATCTTCTGCTTGAGGACCACTGCAGGACAGGCAAGGTTAACACCACAGTCAGTAAAGATCACAGAAACAATTTCAAATGAATAGAACCATAAAATTGGAAATATAAAAGTCAGTAACCTTGAAGTGCTGTCTGCCAGCACAGGCTCATTCGCATCCAAGTCCTCAGTCTGAAAAGAACACAAGTAGAAGTCAATTTACATGATTATTTGCATATATGATATTTTAGACTACTCTAGCTGTCCTACTAGATGTATCAGTCCAGAGACACTTTTCTAGAGTCATTATATTAAAAGTGCTATTTTGGAGTTGTTTCTTCAGATGTAATGAGACTTCAAAATCTGTCACCTTTTACTTTTTCACACGCTCATGTGACTCACTCACAAAACAATGCATTTGCATTAAAGCATGTACTGTAGAGCCACTGCAGACTGACCACATTTACATGTTGCAGTGTCTGTTTATTTCTCACCTCTCCTGGCAGTGCAGCGACGCCAGTGGATCGTCTTTCTCTCCTCGCTCTACGGCGGTCTCTCACTCCAAGTTTGCTGTCTCCCTCTGCTGTCCCTGATTGCTTCACAGGGTCTGTGTCTGCAGAGAAACATTCAATGACTGAAGCTATGCTCAACTGAAATCATTTGCATTTATCAGTCTTAAAGGCACAGAAACATAAGGACAGTTGTAAGGAATAAAGAGAGGTTGAAAAATGGTCATGTAAAAATTTGGACTGTTTTTGGTGCACTAAATGTTATAAGTGGACCCAAAGGGAAAAATAAAATATAAGAAAAATAGGCACTTGAAGAGTCATATATGTAAAAGACCTCTGTTCTGATTGGCTGCCCTTTATTATGCCTCATTCGAAAAGACATCCACGCTGTAACATTCCTTAAAACTTAAATGTCAATAGGAGAACTAAACTGCCTTATGCTGAATAGGTTTATGTATACAAATGTGTTTGTTTTCATGACATCACCAAAACTGTAAATAACAAACAGTTTGCAGCTTAATTCCTATACATGGATTGCACAGACTGGGAAGAGAATGGTATATTTTAAAATGGCGTTTACCTGAAACATTAATCTCTTTTATTGGAATTTTTTTTTACCATTATAGAAGCTTTTTAACAGTGCAATTATATAATCAAGCAACTATGAGCATTTATGAGGAAACAAAAGCTTTTCTGCATTTAACAGGGAATGCTGAACATTTCATGGATGCACATTTTACCCTACACAACTAAACTGGATTTTTGTGATTATTACATGATAGGGATGCTAAAAACTGCAACATGCTTTAAAGCTTTCAGTTTCCACTGGCAAGACCTTGCACCAAAAATAGCAGTCGTTCTATTTAAGCGCAAAGCCACAGCTAGTCTGCACAGGCGTCTGAAACTGCAGCTCTTACAGCTGAATGGCTTCTTCAGTTTAACTCTGTGTCTGCATATAAAACATACTGACATTCATTTTTACAGGCGGCTCCAAATTCTGTTGTCCATTCAAGCTCCTACAATCCCATTGCATTTCAAGTTATTCTGAGGCTGCATTCAGATGGCGGAATGTATTCTGCCATTATAGGATAGTTTTGCTTGCATTTGCAATTTAAAAATATTTAGCTCATAGATAAATATTAATTCACTGGCATATTCACCTTCCTTTACATTGCTGTCACTGAGGTTTGGTAAAGATGCTAAGAAACAAACAACGAGTGCCTCATCACCACTGTAGCTTTGTGAGTGAAGAAACATGATGCTGTGTCACTTTGCTTGCTGCTTGTGGTGTTCAAGGCACTTGCTAATTCATATAGTCTGGGTAAAAGAATGAAATCTCCTTGTCCGCTTTGCAAAACTCGTCACGGAAGGATTATAGAATACACTTTGCCATCTGAACACTTTTCACAACTCTGCATCGACTGTTTTCTTGTTGATTTGAATTGGGTGCAGTGGAGTAGCAGAGCAGTGAACACACTAAGCAACGCTTTCTTGTTGAGTGTTGATTCATTTTCTTCTTGAGTTGAATTGGGAGTGGCAGAGCTGTGCTACACTCTTGGCTTCAAGGACTGGAGCCTTGCACAAAAATGTGTTTTCAATGAAAGCTGTGCATATTCATAGTTGATTTAATTTGTATATTTCATTACCTCTCTCTGCCAGCGTTACCGTGACAACAGGGCTCACGGGCTGAAGATTGCTCTGAGGCTCAGTGTTCCTGCTCACAGTTCGCTCAGCCTCCTTAAGGTCAGTCAGGGTCACACCCTGTCAATCGAAATACCATAACAATGAGATTAACAATGCCCAGCACATCACAAAACTGGTTTTATTTTTACTAACCAAGACAAAGACTTATTAGACTGAACAGAATTCATGTTCCTTCATGATGAATATTTGTACAGCATATGGGAAGTATCTCTAGTCTAGTCTAGAAAAGAGTGCATCTTCAGTACCTGAATTCAAACTGGATTAGATGTCATATGATATGGCATATGAATATTTACGGTATGTTGTACAAAAATATGGGGCTTAAGAGGATGTTCTGTGGAATAGTACAGACATGAGAGGATGTCTTAGAATAGTAGTGCAGAGATGTTCTGGTGTGAAGAGAGTATCTCTTAACCATTTAGCCAAAGGGCCAATTACAATTTATTAACTGGCCCTTAAAAAAACTTAAAATCTATGAAACCACTAATCTATAAAATGCTTTAAAAATGTTGACTGTTCTCACTCTCAGTGCTGTGTGTGAAATGCATATGGTAAAATGTATCAAGCAGTAATGATTACTGTCACAACAAATCTGCATCATCATAAGAAGCTTAAAAAATAATTAAATATATATTTATCTATTTATCTATGCCTATATTAAAAAAAAATACATAATTATATCCGACAACTTTATCAAACATTGCATTTTATGTCCATATTGTGCAGCAAGTATAAGGTCACACATATAAGGCTGGACACCAAATATTTCATTGTTATTTTTTCTCAGACTGAACTTTCTGAAGTCTTTACTCTGAGTCAAGTTGCGAATCAGTCAACATGCGACTCGAATACACATACATCACAAAGGGCTGCACAACAACACAGAACTGTAGAGTAAGAGCACATTTTAAATAGTAGAGGCGTGCTTACCTGAGTGGAGCGCCGTGATTGACGCATGAGGCGAGAGCGAGCTTTTCTCTGAGATTCTGACTCCTCATCTCTAACTGGAGCCTGGAACCTGGAGAGAAAGGAGAAAGACAGCGAGAGAGAGAGAGAGAGAGAGAGAGAGAGAGAGAGAGAGAGAGAGAGAGAACGAAAGAAATTAGACTGGGAAACTCATCTTTCTCATACTTAAAGGGGACTTAATAATATTGAAAAGGTTTAGGGCTAAAATGCGTTTTATAAATCCAATGATGGAGAATTACATGCAAGGTGTTTGAAAGCAAAATAATATCAAAGGAAACATTTTACTACTGCTATTTTACCATCATCAGCATTACATTTAACAACCCGGAAGATACATGTAGGTTCACTGGTAGTTATTGAAGTAAATTAAATGGCTATATTTGTTCTGTAGACATCACAATCCCTGGTTTCCATCACCACTATTGTAAAGAAATCAGTTGTTAAGTTTTCCTACAATTAACTACTTCACATCAGACCACTCTGAATGACTTTGTTTACATCTCAGTGATTGAATGACAGAAATTTTCAATGGTGATTTTAAAAGCTACAGTGTGTGTTAAGAGTTTAAAGTTTTAACACCAGGATGTGACAAAGCAAAGTGAGTTCAAGACCCGCTCAGGTTGATTTCCTGTCATAAGAAGCTATGTTAACAGCTGCTGAGCTGTAGGGGGCGCTCTTACTTCCTTCCATCACCAGAGGCACTGCTGGGGCTTTCACCAGACGAGTCGCGTCTCTGCAGAGTGGGAGGCACACGTGCAGTGCGGCTCTCCCGCTCCTGCTCTTTCTCCTCTGCTTCTTTCTCTTCAGGAGTCTGCAGGGGATGAAGACACATACACACAGAACATTAAGAAGACTGTGACTGTTGCACAGCGTCAACGATTGCACTTAACTTGAGAAAACCTCACAACCTCGAAAAAAAAGGAAAGATGCCGTAGCAGTGTTACAGTCGCACATGTGCAAACAGGAAATGTAAGCTTTGGTATTCACTTTAAAACACTTTCACACATAATGCAGTGAATGTGGTGTCTGACCTTGTCAGCAGGGCTGACTGTAGAGGTAGTGACACTTTCTGTATCTGGACTTGACACTGTGGAACTCTCTACAGCAAAGACAAAGAGTGCACTACATTAAAAACACTTATGGACAATTATAGAATGCTAATGCACAAGTGTGTGGGCGAGAGAGCTTTACCAGGACTGCTCTCTCTCTCCTCGCTCAACTCCAGCCCTCCAGAAACCCCCCTCTCCTTCGACTGATCCTGTACACTCATCTTTTCTCGGCTGCTCATCCTACACACTGAACTCCTGAGAGACACAGAGAGAGACAAATTCATAAGGAAACAGAATTTTTATTGCATATTATAGATACATCACAACATCTAACTACAATATACCGTAATATTTCATTTATTTTCTAATAATATATTAAATACATTTCTGAACGAGTATGAAAGTAGAGAGGTAGAAAGAAAGAGAGATAAACAACATGAGATAAAAGTTGTAGCATCAGCGATCAAGCAGAACCTGCACAAAGGTTATGAAAGACACATACACACGCACACAAAAAGAAAATACAGCCTGAGGCCGATTTCTTACCTGCGTTTTTTGTTTGCAGCATTGCCGTTACTAGCTGCTTGTGCATTCTGTTTATCGTTAATGGCCTGTTCAGTTCGCCACTGTAAAGCAACAACAAACAACTCACAATACACATATGCAAAATGGTAATAATGACTAACGCCCCCTAGTGGCTATTCCACCAGTGGACTGAAGGTCAATAACTTTGTTTTAATGGTAATGAAAATGAAAAATAGCAATATGTTCCCTTTAGTCAGTGCAAATGCATGCAAACAGTTTGAGCAGCAGGAAAACAGTGAAAATATCACCTGTATGGAGGTTATTTAGGGTTACTATGAGGGACATTAGACAAATAATTTATAATTAATGTTCATTTTAAGTATAATGTGGGGTTTAATGCTTAAGAACTTCATTACAGGTTTGATACCACTTTGAAAAAACATGACATCTTGATATGCAGAATACAACAAAACAACACAAGCAGAAAGGAAAGTCCCTGCGAGTGCACTGACACCATCTGTAGCCTCAGTTTTTTAAAATGAAAAAATACACACAGGACAGAGCCAAAGTGCAAATTATAAATAAAAAAACAACGGAAGTCGATGCCTTGAATGACCAACTGTTCTGTGTTGCCAAGCATGTTTTATTTCATCACACCTTTACTGTAGCCCTGTGTTTTTCAAACCGGTGGCCATAGGGGAGTGGTGTGCTAAGGGGGCTGCAAAAAAAGGAAGTTGTTTGTCTTCTTAGTAAGTTTTAATTTTTTTTCAGTTTACTAAATTTGCTTCAACCTGATCTAAAAAGTGGTACTTGTTTAAAAGTTATAGATGTTATTTAACTTCATTCAAATGAAATACGTGCCAACTAATTACAATTTACGGCCATACCATGCCCACTTAGCAAGTTATCTGTGACGTCATAGAAGAGGGTTCATGCCTCTTATACAAGCAAACCAGTGATGGATGCTGAGAAAGGCAGCAAAATGGTCAAGGTTCTGGTAAGGCTTGGTCCGATTCGTTAAGTGAAAGTAGTGATATAGGAGCAGGGCGAGTGGTGAGGGGGGAGCATGGGGGGGTTGAAGTGGCACTTACTATCCACAAAGGTGGACTTAGACTAAAAATGTCTTAGAACAAGCTGTAGCCTACATAATGTAATAATTTCACTTTAAGTTCACTTTATGCAAACTGTTTTATTATCAGTTTTCTTCTGTTTTTTGCCAGGAATTTTCTTTGTAGGACATCACCAGCTAATACTTTAGTAGCAAAGCAACGTGAATTGTTTTGCATGATGTACATAATGAAATCCTGTTTTTCTTGTGCATAGTGCACTTCTAGAGAAAACACTATCTATCCTTTCCTGGATGTCTTGTTTATTTGTTTAAATTTGAGTGATGTTGATGGCGTGTGTGGATGCAGTCTTACGCTGGCTTGTCTCTGAGACAACTCCTCCAGTAAGGCAACCACACTTTCATCCGCCACATCAAATGGAGTTTGACCCTACAACAAACACACACATACTTAGAGTTATGACATTAACCAGAAGTGACTAATATGCCATTCAGTACAATAATCCATACAGCATAATTATACCCAATTCTAAGGGAGCTCTTCCTGACTGCATGTAGACAGTGAATAAATTGATCATTACATCAGGTCATTTTCTTATATTATGAGACTGGTGTGACAGATGATGGACTCTCCCACATCCTGACAGACAAAACCTGACAGCAGCATAAGTGTAAACCTGTCTAGGTTTTTGAACTGTGGGCACAGTTAACAAGCCACAGACAACAACTGAGAGTAACAGTTTGATTCAGAATCAGCTGTCCATGTGTAGGTGACCCTGTTTATACCAATATAATAATCACAACCTGTTGCAGACAAGCACTATGACATTAAAGTGCTCAAATCACGGAAAGCTGAACTTTCCGAGTTTCTCTTTTAATTTTTTTTTTTAAATAACTGAAATAAAAAAGTAACTTTAAATAAAAGTTTGATGTACTATGTGAATCTAAATAACATTTTAAAAATTATGATTCACTCCCCAGTCCATTCATGGTAACTAAGCTGCAAAAACAGCCCATTTTGAAATGGTTGTGGTTGTGATGTCACAAATATGAACACATTTACATCAATTAGCTCATTGAACCTGCAACACTTTAGCTGTGCCCATTCACATTTAAGTCTGGACTTCTTTTTGAATGACTGCTTTGTATTGTGGATTAATCACAACAGAGATCATTTATATATATTAGTCTTAAAGGCACAGTAACAATAACAATCTGTTTAATTCTATGGGATAAAGAGAAGTTAGAAAAAGTAAAATATATGAAAATGTAAACTATGAAATATAACAATATTCTACTGCTCTTTTTCTCTCCATTTAGATAAATGTTTCTCTCCCTTCTTTATTCAATTACTATACGTCTATACCATGACAACCATATGGCATAGAGAATAAAGTTTTTACATTTTTATTGTGTTTTATTTTTTCTCTCCAAGGTCCACTTATAAAGTTTAGTGGTTTTATTTACAAATAAGAGTCATAATTCATTTTTACATTACCATTTCCCAACCTCTCTTTATGCCTTGGCATTACAGGCTGCTTTTGATACTGTGCTTTTAGGACTGATATATGTAAATGACCCTGTATTGTGCTTCACCACTCCTTATAACTTCAGCATGAATGGGCGGAGCTAAACTGCTGTAGGCAGTATGAAGGTTTTATGACATTATACAAACATTGAATGAAAAGGGGCTGCTTAGTTTCCATATATGCACTGTATGGAAAAACTTTAATGAATGTTTACACACTATCTCAAACTCCTTCCTTTCAAAAAAGCAAAGGAAATTCGATTTTCCAAAATATGGGCCCTTAAAGATGTACATGGATGCATCCCAACAGCTCTGGCAAAGATGGATAACCACATGAGTACTACACACTCTCGTACTCTTGTACAAATCTCTGCACAAGTGCATTGTTCTCTACACAGTTAGTGCACACATACACCTCGCTCCCAGTTCCCACTCATGTGGTTACTGTTCACAAAGAGAAGCTCTGTGCATGTGTGTCTGCAAGTGTAGTCTGCATTAGCCTAAGTGTGGTGAGCTCTTTGGCACAGAAGGGCACCTACACACATCCGCTGTGCTGCTGCTCACTTGCACAAGGTGCTGCGCTCCAAACCCACTCAACCTGCTTTAGCAGAGCTGAATAATATTAGCTCCACTCGGAGGTGTAGTGAACTCTGTACAGATAACTGTACTGGCTTAGAAAAACACACTGGAGTTTTCACTCCTCCTTCAGTCTGCCCTTTCGTTTCTTCCTCTTCATTCTTCTCCTTCTACAGTGCCGTACAAAAGTCAGAGACCACCTTTTCATTTATTTAATTTCCAGTCAAATTGGCCATTAACTACACCAAACATTTATTTAATTTATTTAATTTTAATAAAAAAAATCTTTTTGGGAGACTTGCTTTCAGTTTTTTAAAGAAATCTGCAGGGATATTTTTCCACATCTCCTTTTTTCCACAAGTTCAGTCTTACAAATTGGTTTTACATTTTTGGCCTTTCACAATCCAAGTAATCCTAAACACATTCAGTGGTTATGAGGTCTGGACTCTGTGTTGGACACTCCATTGTTCTGCGAACACCAGCAGCTTCTTTGTTTGATGTGTCTGTCTCCTTTTCTAAGTGAGGCTTCTTGAACAGCTACACATCCTTTCAGACCCATAGCGCTGAGTTGTCTTCTCACAGTGGAAGGATGGACAGAAACACCTGCAGATGTTTTCAGATCGGAAGCAGCTTGATTTTCTCCTCTCTCTCAAAAAAGCTTTAAGTGCTGTTTTTCTGATCGGGACAGTTTTGTTGGTCTACCAGGTCTTGCAGGTGGTTGTTAGGAGTTTTGTTTTCTCTGTAGCTTTTTATCAGTTTATGAAGTCCAGTTTTAGAAACTCCTGTTTTTTTCTGGTTGTTTGGTTTTTCTTATTTTCTCTTTCATTATGCAAGTGGACTGTCTTATGTCTAATCTACTACTTGACGTTTGCACAGCACTGTCCATCTCTGTCTAGTCTGAATGCCTCACCTCACTTCTCTGCCTTGAGTGTCTTTCTCTTGCTCTTTTTGTCTCCATTTAAATAAATGATTTTTCTCCTCATTTTTCAGTTGGTATATTCCTACACCATTATAACAGAGCTTTATAGCATAGAGAATAGAGGTATAATAAACTTAACATCTAGAATGCCTACTATTTCAATGTAAATAAGTTGTGAAACTTATGTGATACACTGTATTACTTATCATTTAACTTGCTGCTGTTCCCAGAATACTTCAAATATTGAATAACATGTCTATATCTTTTGGTGACTATTTCATGTGTAAGTCTATATTGTACAAGTTACAAAACTTATTAATATGGCAACAGATTCTAAGCTTTTGATAAGTCAGTATCCCTTTACTTCATTACCACAAACCGTCTCTAAATATTACCACGATACATGATGTTATCTGGGTGGGGTTATGTTGATTTGCGCTGTCTTACTCTGCGGTATTTTAAAATAATCAAAATTAAAAAGTTTAGTTTGCTGATATGGTAATCAAATAAGGGAACTGGGTACTTATTAAATGTCAAACCATCTATCTAACAATTAATATTCGATAAATGTTGAACAGTGCTGCTAATTAGGGCAGCATTAGCTTAGCTCAGTTAGCTTGATAACATCTCTGATGTTTGATTCTAGCTAAATAAAGTACGGATAAAAGTTAGATGATAATGATTTAAATCTGAGGGACGTCAAGCTGTTGGTGTCGAAGAGACAAAAAGGCAAAATTAAACCTGTTCTGTGGGGTTTGTATCCGTAGGTTGATCTGTTAACCTAATGTTAGGTTAGTGAATAGGCTACCCTGCTGAAACAACTGTAGATGATAAGCACTAATGTCTGTGAAATGGAATGACTGGTGTTAGAGCTACAGAAAGCCAAAATCAAACCTGTTCTGTGATGTATGTAGCTCTTGGACATCACTGAGCTGCTATCATGCTTAGTTTTTCTGAGTTTTCTTGGCCACACTACCAATCAGTGAGCCCACAGGTAAAATGTGTATATTTAGCCATTCAGACATGAAAGAAAACTGGACTCATAATTTTGAAACCATGTCATCATTTTTGAATACTGAATACCTTATTGTCATTATATGCCCAATATTTATATTATATTTTGCTCTCTTCCTGTAAAGCTCCTCACTCTCTAGTTCTGTCTCTCTTGCTCACCCCGTTGCTGCGGGCCTCCATGTCACAGAGTTGTTCTGCGAGGATACTGCAGGCCTCTCTCTGGCCCCAGTGCGCTGCAGCGTGAAGCGGAGTCCAGCCGTCCCAGTCTTTAGCAGATACATCTAGCCCACACTGACACAGCAACCTGACCCAGAGAAAGAAAACAGAAAGAGAGGTGAGATGATGCTAAAAAAAATCTTTAAACATCATCAAATTACAGCTAAATATGTTAAATTGTAGTGCATTAATAATTTTAATGAAATTTTTCTGCACATTTGAGTGCACAATTTTTATTTATTTGCTTAACATATTACAAATAAATACTGCTATTTCATGGACATCACTGACATAATACTCAATATGTAATACTGTATGTATAAAAATTGTGCTAAAAATATCACTGAAAAACAGTATGTAAATATCAGCTCATGAGTATGGACGATGAACTGCCCAGCACTAGTGATATTATATTATGGCATGCTATTGCGTTATGTATTCTGTAGTCTACTAGCTATTACATGATAGATTTCTCTATATGGTGGCTGTATATAATCTACCAATAACATACAAGAATGAAAAGACAGTCAAGCTGCCCTTGTTCTCTGCCCACTGATCCCAGATCTGCTTAACTCCCTTGCTCAGAGGCTGAGCTTACAATGCAGTGCAGCAGAACACTGATCCTGGGCCAGCAAAATCAGCAGAAGGGCTCATTGGAGGAATGTGGCCATTTCCACAGGAAGTCTCTCACAGGAGACAGGAAATAAACAGCAGCTATTCTTAGAGAGATCAGAGAGCTGTCCTACCACATGCTGCCCAGGCCGTTCAGAGAGCACCCCACCCAAGCAGCAGATCTAATAGATTAATGGCAGCTGAATAAGCCAGACCGTATTAGGGGATAACTTTGAACACTAATGTTGCTAGTAATGAAAGAATGCTGCTAGGGGGCAGTTGGCATTGCACAAATGGGATGACACTAACAGGTGTCTGCTGGCTTTCAAATCAGTGTTAGTAGAGGAGTAAAAATGCATAGATCTGAAGGTGCACTGTCTGCAATGATTTTGAAATGTTAGAATCCAATAGTTGATTAGACTAATGTTCAATAAAGCAGATTCCTAAATAAATATAGAAATTCCCAGGTTATTTTGACAATAGAGTCATATTCTAATTGAAAATTTGTTAACACTTTCTCAACAGGGATCAAACTTAAATGTGCCATTTTCTGCACATTTCATTGCACAGTTACTGTTTATGTCAACATACTGAAATTCAACAAACTGGAATAAAACAAAGCATAACATATGAAATGTGCCATAACATTTATTTTTCCCCTAAATATGTTAAATTCAGCTAATAAACAGTAATCATGCCTGAAAATGTGAAGAAATGTCTTCTCTGTTGATTATTATTACTACATTTTCACTTAGTAAAGCACCTAAACATATGACTGTAAATATGAACAAAAAGTATACTGTGTTTTATTTTCTATATTCTACTACTGTGTAAATAGTCAGTGTAATCTAACTGAAAAGACTGTAATCTAATAAAACCGATAAAATTTGAGATTCTATGCACCAATTTGTCTCCTAATGAATCATAATTGCTCAAGATATTCACACCCTCAATGGTTAGTCATGCTAGCACTCTTTAAGCTACATTACTTGATGGCCTCCAGGTAGCCCTTGGCGGCAGCAACATGTAGGGGCGTGGCTCCGGTCCTGGGGTGCTGCAAATCGGCGGGAAGGCCATCGGTAAGCCAACTGCGAGCGTCACGCATAATCAGCTCCTCCTCTAACCGTTTAGCTGCCTCCAGGTCCACACCTGGACATCACACAAGGAATTGCACAATGAATCTGAAGGTGAGTCACACGTTTTACCTCTTAATCTCTTCACCCAACATACATAGCAGCAGAAAGTGGCATATCAGTAGAAAAAGCTCAATAATGGAGTAAACAAAGACATGAATCAAATCCAATCTCCTGTAACAGATCTATCCTGAAACAGCTCTCACTCACACTGTCTGATGTTGTTAGCTGTGTGGTTCTTCCAGTGGGGCTTTTAGAGCTTTTGAGTAGTATCAGCATGATGGCTACTTTTAGGTGCTCATCTTAAGTGAAGTGCTTCAATTAAACACAGTATATTTTAAAGCTTTGTAATTGAAATGTGTATACATACATACATACATATATATATATATATATATATATATATATATATATATATATATATATATATATGTTTGCCATTTGAATGATAAACAGGGTATCTACAGGTCATTTTGAAGGTATGCTGAGCATTCTGAACATTCTCCACAAGAGATCACTATTAGTCGATTTTCAGATTATAATAAATCTTACGATTGAATAATAAACTTGCAGTTAAAGAAAAACAGGAAAAAATCCAGAGAAATCACTAACCCTGTTTATAAATGTAAATTCTGTTGCTTCATCACATATTATGTAACGTTTTTTGTGATGAGCCTTTTTATGTACCTAAACAGGGGTGAACAGGTTTGAGAGCAAAGCTGGGTGTTGCAAACAGTTGCGTAAAAATGTCCACTGCAGTCTTTCTTCATCCTAAATGACTAACAAGCACGTGACTAGAGAAGTCCTAGAGGAGTGACAGCTGGGCTGTTGTGCTGCATCACATCACCCATTTATTCCCCTGCATGACAGTGTGAGTGGGAGATGTTTTACTGAGAGAAATAATAGACTTCTCTGTCTTTCTGTCTTTCTCTTTGTCTTTCTGTGCCTATTTCTATCTCTCTCTCTCTCTCTCTCTCTCTCTCTCTCTCTGAGCGATGACTCACCCTGTTTTTGAGTGTGTTGCTGTAGTAGTCCCTCCATGGCCTCATCCTCAGCGATGTCTAATGGAGAGTCACCATCACAGTTCACTAAGCTCAGAGATGCACCCTGCTTCAGCAAGTACCTAACACACAATACACATATACATGCAGTCATTTACAAAAATAAAACAGTGGCTACGCATATCTATTCCAGTCTACCTGTTGGTACTAGGAATGCATGACATCAGAATCAGCGGATAATTGGTTAATATTTAGGTCTGACCGATACAAACCAATATTTGATGATGTATTTATTGTACTCTGGAAGAGCAGAACGTTTAGGCGAAGCTGAACTACTAATGTATGTGCACTTGATTCATTTTAATACATTTGCAATGCTTTTTCAAATAAATACTATATTTATTGAAAATCCAGATGTATTTAGTCCCTGTTTCTACATTTTATTTCAATATTACAACATTTCACATTCAATGTAAGCCTCTGAATTCACTATGCACAGGCATATTTAACAGATTGGAGCAAATAAAGGGCTCTTAATGCTCTTAAAAACAGCTTTTACTGAATGAAGAATAATAAATATTAATCAAGCAAGCCTGTTACAAGGGCAGAACCTCCCTCCTCTGAAAATTGCTTCCTCTTTACCTCAAAATCGAGAGCAGGGAGGAAAAGCACAATCCTCATAAGCCAATACTAGCTTGGGGCTAATATATTAGCTCATGGCACATGCAATTCTTTTGAAGCATTGCACTTTTTATAATGTTGATTCTCCAATACTGAAAATTGAAACATCAACTCAAGACATAACTCTATCATATTGAACCAAATTGTGTTAATCGTTATACCCCTTAATTAAACATGTATTCATTGGCATCGACAAATATGTACATAAAAAATACAGGATATCGGCATTGGCTCAGAATTCCTGTATAATTACATTCTTAGTTACTACATATTCAGCTTTCATGCCTTGTTTATGAAACATTCACACTAAAAGAGAAATAAAGACTGATTTCATGTCTTGTACATCTTTGGCGTGTGTAATCTTTCATGGCACCACATCTTTGCTCAGTTCTGCACTTAAACTTTTAAACATTAAATGTACTAATATACAACATACTTAGTACAAAAAATGCCCCTGACGTTGACATGACAGTGTGAACACAAACATCCATAGATTAAATGGGTCACTACGTTATACGAATAGCTGCTGCTATGCACAGTTTGCATTTATCAACATAAATTTTGGATTTTTCCAAAAAACCGAATTAATTTTTTTTCTTTTGCTATTTGAGTTTAAATTGCCATTCAGTATTCTGAATAACCTGTTATTTTGAAAATTTGGCCCTTATGTAATGTGTATAAAACCCTCCGAATACCAGACAGCGAAGAGCTGAAAATATATAATTTTCTACCCTGCGTACTCTTCATACTTGAACATTTAAAGTGAAGTACATACTCTGTGATCTCCCTGTTCCCGCAGGAAGCGGCCACATGTAGCGGGGTCCAGCCCTCGTTGTCCACCTGGTTCACGTTAGCGCCCTGAGAAAGCAGGAAGGACACCACGTCCATACTGCCATCGATGCACGCCTGAAGGACACACATAACATTCTTAGTAAAACAGGTGCATTTTTATGCACTTCAGTTCAAATATATGCCAAAACTATATCAGACAGCAAGATAGTGAACTGCTGCGACTGGGGATCTTTCTGTGCATAAACACAGTCATTGACGTTAGATTAGATTTAAGTGGATAATATGGTAAATTAGCTGCTAGTTAACTTGTTACTAGTACCTACTAGTCACAGTGTGCTTTTTCTGCACAAAAATGCCTACAGTTACACATAAACATGTGTGAAATCAAAGATCATATTTTTTTCTGTTGACTGTGAAAATATGGGAAACATTTATTTTGTGAAGACTTGCATAAATGCTAATAGCATTAGCTTCCGAAAGTCGCTTACCTTGGCAAACTCTTTACAGGGCAATAATTCTAAAATTAGCAATCAACATACTGTTCCAGTTTATGTTCTGATGAGCATCACTGCCATGTAATAATGCTTGATGACTTCATCCTCACTTGGAAGACTAAATAATAAAGACATATTTTCAGTGGCTTCAGTTGCAAGAGCAAATAGAGAGGATTCCCTCAAGTACCATTAGATCATGTTGGTACCAACCTTGAATAGGTACCAAAAACCATAAAACTGGGAGCTTTAGTACTAGACTGATGGCCAACGGAAAAACCACAGTTCAATTTTTTTGGTGCCAGAGGTTCCAGTACTTTGGGCAGTGGAAAAATGCCCTTAGTGTTTTCCCTGCTGTAACAGATCTCATCAGATAATTAACAAGTTTTTTTTTTTAGCCTGAACAGTATGGACAAAGTACTTACATTGTAATTATACTGCTGAAAATTGCAATTACAAATTTGCCTTTAAATAATATGCACATTGTATATTACTTGTCCATACACAGTCTGCATATTGCTTGTATACTGTGTATATTGTATATTGTCTCTAAATTATTTGTACATTGTATATTGCATTTAACACTAGAGAGACACCAATGGCTGGAACAAATTAATAAATAAACAACACACAAGGAATTTGTCTGAACAAACTTGATTCTGAACTGCAATACAGCATGCAGTATATTAAAAAGGCACTGGTGAATGAATAATATGACATGGCTAAAGACTGGCCTGCATTATTTTGATCAAACAAATGTACTCTTGTTGAGTAATACAAATACGTTGATTCATCAAAGCAGCCATTCATAAGAAACTGTGATCAGTAAGGATGCTCAGAGTATTGCAAAGATCAGACCTGTGACAATGATTAACAAGTGATACATTGCATAACCCTAGCTTTCGTGAGTTGAACTGTGCAAGTTAGAATTTGAAAAATCCTAAAATAAATTATGCAGTGTGGTGGTATTCAAGAGCAGGAATGAAAAGAAATGAATTAGGAAACTCTTTTCTGTATGTCGAACATGTTCTTTACTGCAAGTTAGGAATTTTATAGATTAACTGACTAACTGTTTACAAACAAATATATAAATCTTTGACCAGTGCCTTCAGTTAAAAAGTTTCTTAAATTTCTAATGAATATCTGACATTTAAGTAAGTCAGACTGTATGCATGAGGTTGCTAGAGTGCAACTTGTTCTGGTAGATGTACTTACTGATGCACAACTTCAGGTTTTCTGCAGTCGACTCTGAAACTCAACTCCACTTGCACTCCAATTTTAACTGGTAGTGCCAGAGTCGTGGATAAAGGGATAGAGCAGAGAGTAAAGCATCCTAATTGTATCTATCCTGAGTGCACTCAAACTACAGCCTTCAAATGTTATAGCTATCATTTGGCCTATTTAGTTAGATCTATGACATAAAGATTAAAAGCTGTGCAAACACCTGTAGCTGAGCCATCTAAACCCAAGAAAGCATAACAGGCCTCACTGTCTCAGGTGAGTCCTCTCTCTCCCCCCAGTCACTTTCAGAGTTGGCAGTTAGTGTACTCCTCCAAACATACTGAGCTATACAATGACGCATCATGGAGCTTCGTGTGTCTTGGTGGGAAATTGGCCAAGACTAATTTAATATAAACCCCCCCCGCCAAAAAAAAACAAAAAACAAAAAAACAAAAAACAAACAACAACAGAAGAACTCTACTTGTGTGTTCGGGTGTTCATCGGAAGATTGTATTGTATGCTTATTATATATCTTTACATCTGTTTACGCATATGTATAATAACACCTTGCTACTATATATATACACACACACACACACACACACACACACACACATATATATATATATATATATATATATATATATATATATATATATCTATACACTCGTGTATACACAAGTAAGCTTGAAAAATACAACTTTTTTAAAACAGAAGTCCATAATGATGTTATTCAACAGTGCAGGTAGCCCACAAACAAAACAGAAACTTGAACTCCCTCATATAGGCCAGCTTTACTTGGCAAAACTTTCATGCAACATGAAACTAAACTGCACTTGAGCTACATAATGTACAGCGTTCTGCAACTCACTTGAAACTCCGCTGCAACTGCTGTTAGTGTCTCAACTTTGTGAAACAAGTTTTATGCAACAGCCAACTGAAACGCCAATAATGTATCTATGTATCAGTGACTTTTTTAAAAAACTTTTTTAAAAACAGATGGATAAAAGACAGATATGTAAAAGGTAGAAAAAAGAACAGCAATAACAGCTGGATAATATATACAAAGGTAAGAGCAAATATGTGAATTATGCTTTGCAGAAGACTTTATCGCAGGAATTTAAGGGTGTATCAAAAATACCAGCTGTTAATTTGGATAATGCGTGGAATAACTAAATGTCTTGTGTTCAACTTTGTTTCTGAGTTGCTTTGTTTAACTATCAGGTTGCACAGAACTTAAGTTGCAGGCAACTCACAACATGCAACTAACTACATAAAAAGTTCAGGCTTTACAGCATTTTCAACATCAACAAGGCATAATCAACAAGGAATAACAAAAATATGTGAAAAACTACAGTAGGTCTGGCACAAACCATTAAACTGGCACAAACTATAACTAATAACTAACTAATTAAACTAATAGTTTATTGACATTTGATGGTGTCCACAAAAAATGGTAAATAAGAGATTGCCAGAAGTAAGTGAGGGTTGTATTGGTGCTACAGTTTTAAATTTTATTACGCTATTTTTAATGGTGTTGTTCCGATACTGTATTGACGTTATCACACCCTTATTCACCATAAAGTTTTCCCACCTGGTGCAAAGCTGTGATTCCATCCGCATTGGCACAGTTGACCACGTCTGCTCCTGAAACTAACTCGCCATTGCTTTTCTGCCAGGCCTCCTTCAGCATCGCCTGGGCCTCCTCAGTGTCACCGCTGGCACAAACAGCCAGGAACTCTGCTGTCCTCTCAAAGCGAACACGCCGCCTGACACAGTCACAAAGACAGTTCCGTTAGTCTTTCCCCATCTCCCTTGAGTTCAGTATATTACAGCGTAGTAACTATGCAACTGAACATCTGGGTTGCACCACTCCTGATACAGTGAACCTCCACTGAACATTACAGAGAATCCACACTAAGGCCTTAAAGGAATATTTCACATTTTTTCAATCTAATCTCTATCTGTCTCATCTTTATCACAGCATCATACACCACAGACAATAATCTCAACTTTTTTTCCTGTACAGGAAATCTGTTGACTACAAACATGCCAATAATAGAATCCCACGGGCAGTTGCTTCAGTTCCTGTATTTTGAATGGAAGTAATAATTTCTCCACACCTAAATATTACATTTACATCCTTCAAGCCAAGGATGTGCAAAGCTAATGCCGATGACATGATGTTTATACCACGTCAGTTATGAGCCAAACTTTTTGCCACTTCACTTTGGCCAAAAATTACAGCAAAACGAAACCATGTGGAGTTTTTTGTTGTTCTTTATCTCACTGGCCGCTGCATCTCGAGTTCAAAGCTTGTCATAGCTCGTTCTGTACATTTCTGAGCGGTGGAGGCCCCCATCCGTCTTCTTCAGTACTTGAGTATGTCAAAAATGTTTGTTTTTAAATGACTGAGTTGGGTCTGAAAGGTCAGAACCAAGAAATATCCATTAATGTCCATATTTGAAATGTTGTACTTCCTTTTGTCAATATGTTGAGCTTGTTTGGGTATGAATGCCAAACTTCCAATCAACAAAATTATATGGCTAAAAATTAATTTTTAATCACTGACCATGTAAAATCACAGGATTTCTGATTTTAATCAAAAGAAAATCCCAATTTATTGGGTGATGTAAGAAAATAACATGTAATCAAATTCAAATGTACACTAGTAAATATCCAGGTATAAGTAGGGGTGGGAAATATGATGACATTTATTGTTTTTGTGATACATAATTTCAGTATGCTTTTCTGAGCATACTGTAGATATCATAAATGCTTAAAGAACACTGAACTGAATGTTTCATCACAAAGATCACCAGATTTAGTGCAGGACAGAATATGAAACGTTAATGAAAATCTTTGTATTCACAGTTTTTCGCAGTATATTTTTAAAGTGGCACTGCCGGTTCTTTTTCTCTGTTCCAGCTCACCAGACCTCAGAACACCAAAATATTATTATACATAACATGTATCGTGAAAAGGTCTTAAAAAGTATTGTGATGCTGTATTTTTGCTAAATCGTCCACCCATACACACTTAAAACAGATGGTTCTTCAGGGGTGCTTTAGTAAAGAAAATGGGTCTATATGGAACCATGAACACTCAAAGAGTGTTTTTTGCATCATTAAAGTGTTCTTCAGATTGATTGAGAATGTGCTGTAGATGGTTCTATATAGAAGGGTTCTATATAGCACCAAAAAGGGTTCCTTCATTGTTACAAGCTTGACATAACCATAGAAGAACACTTTTTGGTGCTACATAGAACCCTTTTCAAAAGGAACCACCTGCAGCACATTCTCCATCAATCTGAAGAATCATTTCATGATGCAAAGAACCCGTTTAATCATGCAAGGGGTTCTTTAAGTGTTCATGGTTCCATCTAGAACCATTTTCTTTACTAAAGAACCCCTAAAGAGACACCTTTTCTTGAAAGTGTAGAACCATTTAAAACACACCCTCCATCAATCTGACGAAGACTTTAATGATGCAAAGAACCCTTTAATCATGCAAAAGGTTCTTTGAGTGTTCATGGTTCTATGTAGAACCATTGTCTTTACTAAAGAACCCCTGAAGAACCATTATTTTTAAGAGTGTATTTATAAATATATATCAGACCAATGAGAACAAGTTCTGTGGCATTTTTCAGGCATTTTCTTGTTACATTGAAGTTAATAAAAACAGCCTGTTCTGGGTGAGAAAACAGACCAAATGTGCTTTCATTAACACTGTAATGGGCTCTAAACACCAGAGCTGGCAGACCTGAGAGAAAGATTAGTCAGAGCATTATGAGCTACCCATCTTTCAGCTCTAGCTCAGTAAAAGGAGCAGTTTATCATGAGCTAAGAGAGCTTATCTAGAGCATAAAAGCCCAGTGAGAAGCCTCTGAATGCCACTGACAACTGAAATAGCAAATTGAATCTGTTCAGGAGTGTTCTTGATTAGAGACCTGGGCCCGGATTCACAAACACTTTTCTAAGAAAAAACTTACGAAGGATCTTAAGACAAGCACCAAGAAGCGAATGTTCTGCAGTTCTCATTAAAAAAACTAAATTCACAAATATTTAAGTCTTACTTATTTTCTTAAAAAATTTTATTTGCTGTACATCAAGACTGTAGGTTATTTATAATGTAGACTACCAATGTCACACTACATTTTACAGATTGCCGGATGATATCATTTTTCTGTTAACTGGTTATTCAGTTTAAGCACACGAGCACCTGAAGACAGAAAAAAGAAGGTAAAACAAAATCGAAACGTTTAGCAAACAATAACTAGAAGTGATGGTGGAGAAAACAGCCAACAGGAAAAATCATTCTAGGTTTGCTTTAACAGTTATACACTGTAAAAGTTACAGTTTAAGAAGTTCATCCAGGAAGTTCTTACAGTGTAAGACAAGTGTGAGACTGTTGTGTAGTACATTTTTTTTCCCCAGACTATCACTTGTTCTTACATTTGAGCTCTTGCAACAAAAAACAGTATATGTCACTTTTTTTTCATAAAAATCATAAAGGCATGGTATGGCACTTCTGATGCCCTGTGTTTAAAACAAAGGACACATTATAATGTAATTAAATGTAAAAGGTTGTTCAAAATTAAACTGGAAAAAAAAAGATAATCCAAAAAAGGGTGGAATGGTTAATATATGGCTGTTCATTAGAGGGGCTCGATTTTTCTTCAGAGAAAGAAAGACATGAAGGAAATTCTTAATAAGTTAAATATGTAGTTATGAGAAAAAATGGCATATTTAAGAAGATTTTCAGTCTGAGGACATTTATGAATCCGTCTCCTGGAAGCAAAAGACACAGGTTGCTCAATGACTAACAGTCTATCTCTGTCTTTTACATCAAGCATGTATTTAAATGACTCCTGGCTAAAACGATATGAAGCTGAGGTCACTAATGAAATGAAAATGAATGAAGACAGATATTCTACGGATTTTTATACATTTTTCAAAGACAGCAACGTTAAAGCTAACATAGCGTATCACTGCCACCACCATGATAACACTATTAAAAATGAAACTCAGAACATTACATATATGTTTCCCTAACTAAATATATGCAGCAAGAGCTGAAATATTAATCGCTTTTACATTGAAAGAATGTAATTTTTAAATCGCAAGAGCTGAAATTATTTTTTACAGGATCAGCAAAATTGTCTTAAGTTTTAAACGAGGAAATTTAACCTAATGAGCTTGTGAACTGTCTGTAGATGAGTTTGACCAATCAGAAGCTACAAAACACCCATGTTCTGCATATGTGACATCACAACCATGTAGTCTGGCGCACTCAGTGTTCAAGCTTCATACCAGCATAAGGTGGATATGCTGCTCTTCTTGGCCAAAAAAGAAGCCTGGAAATTAATTTATAGAAAATAACTGCATTAAATTGAATATTGGTCAGAAAAATCGCAATTAGATATTTTCCCCAAATCGTTCATCCCTACATGCAGCATTAATGTAACTTTGTGACAATATCTATGAGTTAAACTGTGAGATATCATGATATTAAGTTTACATCAGAACATACCTCACAGAAAACCGAAACCTAACGCCTCTTATAATTTAGTATTAGTAACCAGAATTGCCCAATATGGCAAAAATCTAATATATATTTCGATACTTTCAGGAGTTTTCATGATACACAATGTGTCACGACATTTATTTTTTGACATCTGATAAAGTGGAACATACAAAGTAACTTAGTGGCACATTTAAGAAAACAGTATAAAAACTATGAATCCAGTTATGTGTGTTTAATATTTCATACACTATTATCATCTAATCTAACAGGACTAAATATGCTCTATTTTTCATCAAATATGCAGCTGGTGGGTGTTTTTAAGTACTAAAGATATCCACGATATACTCAGAAAAGCATATTGTGACATTATTCATCACGATAAGGATAAATATTGTCTTATTGCCCAGCCCTACTATTAACATGAGTCGAATTATTCGAATTTCCCCGTTCCACCTTAAAAGGTGCAGCAGTTACATTCTGGCGCCTGAACCATTTAAGGTGGAACGGGAAAATTCTAACAAGAACCCGGCGAATATGAAGCCAAGTTTAACCTTTGGTAATAACGATTCAAACAGAAAGATTTTCTAAGTTTAAAGACCTTCTCTTGGCCTTCTTTTTGCGGACAGGACCGTTTCCATCTCGACATCTCCCCTCCAGAACCGCCTCGCCTTCGTCGTCGTCGCCCTCCTCCTCCTCCTGCTCGCCCCTCCAGCGCCTCCGCGGCACCGCCGGCTCTCTGTCCGTACACGACCCAGACCAGCGCTTCAGCTGCTCCCGACGCTGGGCCCTCGCCGCTTCGCCCATTTCTCCCGACCGGAGGAGCTTTATCGGGGACGAAAATATGCGCTCACTCGGACACACCCTCCATGGAGAGCCGTGTTTACGCGCCTAGCAGGCTGGCTAAGCTAACAGGCTGCTTCCTTATTCAAATGCTGCTTTCGGAGGAAGTTTGATGGGTGGCTAAGCTAAGCTAAGCTAAGCTAGTGAACTATCAAACCGCAGAATGTGCCAATTTAACGCGTCTTTCTCAACCACTTATATTTCACAAGAATCTTGTGTATCTGCTGACTCGACGACGCTCTAACGTAAGGTAGAGAAGTTCAGGAACGCAGACAGAAACCTAAAAACACAACTGTCATCGGCTCTGCTGTCATTAACTGAATGCCGCTTGTCAAAATATCAAAGCTACAGTTTCCGTTTCGACCGCTAGAGGGAAATAAAACTGGCTCCGAGCTCTGTTTGACCATGCGGTGCATCAACCTGCGTTGCTCTACACAGCCTGCACCCCAAGGACCCTTTAGTACCTAATTCTGTCGGCCTGATTCGAAAAATTAGTAAATTAAGGCGTTAGACCAGGCCACATGGTTGTTTGCCGCCTATGTCCATTTTGTAATTAAAGCATTCAAGCAAGGTTGATTCTGATGCTTTATTTGCATAGACTTGTTCATTTTGAACAAAGAATAAATGAGGAAAACTATTTTCCTTACTGGTCACAACATGGATGTATGTATTGTACTTTCATTTGAATAGGTTCAATATAAATCTGGATGTTTGATTCTTAAAATATGTAATTGGAGCTGTACATTTACCCCATGCACACGAATCTTTACATTTAAAATACATATATCTGTACATGAATATATAGACAGATATTTAGTTGTCCTTCCAGTTAAGATTCGATTCCTCCGAGCCATCCAATGAAATTGCGACCGGAAATCAAGGGGTGCAGGATATGCGGGGGGAACGCATGAGGACGCACCATCGTTAGGCGATTGGTTGTAGCTCTATATGCTTCCGCGGCGGCGACCGTAGAAGAAATAAAGTCTGCAGCACTTTAGCGGTGTAGCAACATAGCAACCTAGCCGACAGAATTTGTTGTTGATATATTAAACGACAAAAAAATCTAAAAATGTCCGACGACAGGTCTGAGAGGTCGGATGGGAAGATTGTGAAGATGGAGATCGACTACAGCGCGACTGTAGATCAGCGGCTCCCCGAGTGCGAGAAAATGGCAAAAGTGAGTTGAATGAAGCGAGACTGGAGCGGCTGAGTCACGGTGCAGTTAGCTTAGCATAGCATAGCCTAGCCGTTTTTACATAACAATTAATTAACCAGTGTAGCATCTTCTGTCTACTAAGATCACCTGAGTCTTCCTTTAGACTCTGAAGAGTACGAGGCTTTTCCAACAGTCTACCTAAATCTGAATTATATGCTGCGAGACTGAGGTTCGCTTTCTGTTCGCCAGCTTCTTGTTCTAGGTTTCCCGTTCCACCTTAAATGGCTCACCAGTTACATTCTGAATGTAACTGCTGCGCCATTTAAGGTGGAACTGGTAATTCGAGCAAGAAGCAGACGAATAAGAGGAATAAGAAGCTGACTTAAATCAATAGGAGGACTGGGAAATACGATGATGTTTATCGTTATCGTGATGAATATTCACAATATGGTTTTCTGAGTGTATCGTGAATATCATCAGTACTTAAACGCCTCATAGCTGCATGTTTGATTAAAAGAGAGCCTCATTAGTCCTGTTTAAGTAGGTTTAACGTTAGTATAGAATAGTGTGTGTGAAATGTTGAACACCTGGATTCATAGTTTTTATGCTGTTTTTTAAAAATGTGCCATAATGGTGTTTGTTTGAACAAATAAAATTAAATATTGTGTATCATATTGTCAAAGTATGATGTTATAACCTTTTTGCCATATCAGTCACCTTTAGTTAATACTACTAAATTTCTACTACAGAATAAGTGGCGTTACATTTCAAGTGTCCAAAGTCTTAATATTTTTTTGTTAGGCAAGTGAGTAAATAAATTTAACATTATGATATTATAGATATTGTCATGATCTTGTATTATTGCTGCATGTATTTACTTAGGGAAACATAGATGTAGTGTTCTGAGTGACATTTTTAATAGCATTATTTGTGGTGGTGACGGTGGTCATACGTTGTTAGTATTAATGTTACTGAATTTAAAAAAAGGTACAATAATCACTCGTCATTATTTTTTTGGAATTCTGGTTTCACGGCAGTCCTGTTGGACATCTTGTCATTAGTGGGACTGCAACTATTTTGCAATAAATACAGTGACAGTATTTCAATGTGTCCGCTATAATAATCCCACGTTGTATACTGTGGTATACCTTACTATCGACTAAATCAGTTTTCACTGAGATGTCCCTATCTTAGACTTCTCCCTATAGTCATAGTTCCATCAGAGAGCTGCTTGGGTTCTTTATACTGAAGGGCATAAATTTGGTTCTTATGTTTGTCCAGAGAGAGAAACAGAATATAAAGCAGCTTTCCTGCATGTTGGTTGGTTCATTACAGATGCTCAGTATTAGTAGATGTAGCAGTAGTATGGATATTAGCCTCACATTTAAGTTGACAATTAAATATCTTACTGCTCCGTAAGCTGGGAAATGATGTAAATTCAGGCTAATGACACCACATGTAAGCATTACAGAGCCAGAAGGTGCGTTTTCCCTAATGATGATATAATATCCGTATAATAACAAACTGGGCTAGATTCTCATATTACTTAATTTATAATGATAACTGTGTTCTGTCCAGGCAGCTTGGAACATCAAAAAATGGCTACACTGGCATGTAGGTGGTGTTCTTCTGAACAAGCTTGTCTATTTTCCTCTCTAATGGAGAGTGATTTTGTGATGCCATTAAACACCTGCTTAAGCGGTGGATACATGAGTGAATGCTACCCAGGGTGTCTTTTACAGATTTTAAAATGACATCATTGCATGCACACCCAGAGAGGATGGACAAGTGATACTTTAGATTCTGTGTTTTGTTTGCGTTTATATATTCTGTGTTGTGTTATAAAATAATAATAATATAAAAAAAAAACCTGGAGTAGGAAACCACACAAATGTAAATCGGCTGGCGCTGTGTAGCAGCTGTGATTGGATACAGGAACATTAGGGGTGGGCTTTCAGGTGAATGTTGTGATGGGCTCAGTTCATCAGTAGTCGACATCAGATATAATGATGTTGAAAGGAATTAGCAGTTCCGTTACCCTCATTACTTGTTTATTTCAGTTATTCATCAGTCCTAACCCTTAACAGCTGCAGGCTAAAACCATCCACACATGGAAATACAGATATAAGCATGTTATGTGATACATCTAACTGCATAAAAAGTATCTTCTTTTCTCTTCTTATAAGCATCTTCTGCTTTTCACCTTGGTGCAGTAACGCAAAATACATAGACTCTCTGTATTGACAGAAAAACAAAAGTAAAGCAAAAACTTTATTACAGATGTCTTATTTCCAACCAAAACCACTTGAACACAGATCGAGTCATACTTACGACCTCCAAAGTCGTAAGTAAGAACTTCCAAGGAGGACTTAAAGGCTGCAATATCCCCTAGAATTCTTTGCTGTATACATGTATGACTTGTTTACCTGTTAATTAGTTAATCAGTCAATCAATCTTGTTTTTTTTCTTTGTCTTTCTAGGAAGGGAGGCTTCAGGAAGCCGTTGAGAGTCTTCTGTCTCTGGAGAAGCAAACAAGGACGGTTAGTCTGGCTGTTTTGGAACTTGACATCTTATTTACCTCTAACAAATCTGTGATACCAAACCTTTGTTGTACATTCCTGTGTCTGTTACATCCAGGCTTCAGACATGGTGTCCACATCCAGGATCTTGGTGGCCATAGTGCAGATGTGCTATGAGGCTAAAGACTGGGATGCTCTCAATGAGAACATTATGCTGTTGTCCAAGAGGAGGAGTCAGCTGAAACAGGTGAGCATATGAATGCATGTATTATACACAAAGCATTGCAGAAGGTTGCAGTGTTGGTACTTGATTGAATCCCAACTAGGCTTGTCATAATACCAGAATAGTGATTTCAATACTGATGCTTAGTGTAGTATCGCAATGCTTGATGCCAGATGCACACACAAATATTCAGATTTTCACTGTTTAATTATCATGTCTGTTCTTTGAGTTTTATCTTTTCTTTTTCAATGTGAAATTACATAAGCAATTCTGTGTTTCTAACATTCATCACACTGTGTTAAACAAGTACAAAATAGGTTATTCTGTATGTTGATGCTCCAAGAGCCAGTGAGTGTATCTCTGCCCATCCAAGTCAAATTAGAACATGCACAGTTTGATTTGCCTATAGAATCTTAAAAACAAAGGTTCACTGGAATGTCTGGTTCCAGAAAAACAAAACATAATTTGTTATAGAACGTTTACATTACGCTGAGGTTCTTCACACCTTTCATGCATCTGTTTTATAATTATGATTTATTTATTTATTTTTTTAAAGAACTGTTCATTGAAAGGTCTCTTTAATGGATGCAAAAATTTGTTTTTCTGTGGCATCGCTCCAAATAACCCATTTTGGCAACTTCTTTTAAGAATTTAGGCAAAATACAATGTCAGCATGGTGCTAGCTTATTTAAATGAAGAATTAAAAGTATTAAAAGTTGATTATTCAATTGTTTGCCTCATTGCCGTATTGAAAAAGGATATTTTTCAATACATAATCAACTCTAATCCCAGCCCAGTAACACAGAAAATGCTCATTTACCTGCCTTTTGTGAAAAAATAGTCAATGCAAACTCAATGGTTTGTGAAAAGTCGTTTACTAATTAGTCACAATGTAGTTTATTTAGGTCATTTAAGGATTAAAGATAGGAAGATTCTGTACAAATCTCTGACCCCACAGTGATTTGATCTGAATTGATTCTTTAGGAAATTATTTAATGTGTCACAAAATGTCAAATTTCACATACAGACCATAAAAACGATACACTGTGTTTTTTTTTTTGCCAGAAAATTTTAATTTGATCCAAAAAAAAGTGGGGTAAATGTAATAGATTTTTAATTGAATCCCCACCTTTAGTGATTTTTACACCCTTATAGTTTGTGAAGTGTAACAAGAAATGTATCAGGAATCTCCTTCTCTTGTTCCAGGCTGTTGCCAAGATGGTGCAGGAGTGTTATAAATATGTGGATGCTGTTACTGACCTGCCTGTCAAACTGAGGCTCATCGACACTCTCAGAACAGTCACTGCTGGAAAGGTCTGCTCTGTTTTTTTTTTTTCTTTTCTGTAGCTTGTTTTGCAAAACAAAATTGCTGTGCTTTTCTCTAATGAATGATTAGAGAAAGTATTCTTACGTTATACTCTCTTCTATGTTTGTGTGTTTCATAACCACTTCTTGAACGACCGCTGTTATAATTTAGTCCATTATATTGTTCTGATTTGCTGTTGTTTACCTTGTATGCTTTTGCGCAACTTACTGATGCTGTTTCCATGTTTGTTGAATGTAGATCTATGTGGAGATTGAGCGTGCCAGGCTTACTAAGACATTGGCCAATATTAAAGAACAGAGTGGGGAGGTCAAAGAGGCTGCATCTATTCTTCAGGAGCTGCAGGTGAGTCTGGGTCCTTCTTTCTTGCTGCTAATTATTACTTTCACATACTTGTATCACAAAAGAACGCCCCTAGTAGTTGGGTGCCTGTTTTATGCTGTACAATGTGATCTCAGTATGGATGGGTTCTGTTCTCTTCATCTGTAGGTGGAAACGTACGGCTCCATGGAGAAGAAGGAGAAGGTGGAGTTCATTTTGGAGCAGATGAGGCTGTGCATTGCTGTTAAAGACTACATCCGCACTCAGATCATCAGCAAGAAGATCAACACTAAGTTCTTCCAGGAGGAGGGCACTGAGGTGATGCTTAGACTGACATCAACCTCATAGTTCTGTGACTGATTTCCCAGCAACCTAGAGAATATACGTTTTATCCTCTGTCCTTAATCTAGACTGTTTTCTTTTCTGTCTTGTTCATAGGAGTCTAAATTGAAGTACTACAATCTAATGATCCAAGTTGACCAACATGAAGGCTCTTACCTGTCGATATGCAAACACTACCGGGCCATTTACGACACTCCCTGCATCCTGGAGGACAGCTCCAAATGGCAGCAGGTAATGCATGAAACCCAAGAGTAGTAGTTAAAACAAGAAAAATTTTGCCAGTTAACCAATTTGAGATAAATGAAAAAGTCTAAGTTTCATCATTTACAATAAAAGTGCATTGGTTTAAATGGAATCGTGACAGAATACAGAATCTCGTTCTGATTTCTCATTTTGTATGTTGTTTTGCTCCAGGCCCTGAAGAGTGTGGTTCTGTATGTGGTTTTGTCTCCGTATGACAACGAACAATCTGATCTAGTTCATCGAATCAGTGCAGACAAGAAACTTGAAGAAATCCCAAAATACAAGTAAGTGAGCTAGAGGTCTTCCTGAATTGGTATCTTCTGCAGAAAAGCGGTCTCACCCCCTTTTCTTTTCCTCCTTCAGAGACCTCCTGAAGCAGTTCACCACCATGGAGCTGATGCGCTGGTCCTCTCTGGTGGAGGATTATGGGAAGGAGCTTCGCGAGGGTTCTGCAGACAGCCCTGCCACAGATGTATTCACGTACACGGAGGAGGGAGAGAAGAGGTGGAAGGATCTCAAAAATAGAGTTGTAGAACATGTATGTACACCTTTTATCCATTTTTTTTTTTTCAATCCACTTTTAAATACTCTGAGATGAAAACAGGTTGCTGAAGTTGCTAAACTGTAACTTGACCTATTCGAGTGGTATTTAAGCGCTCATCTGTTGTTTTGTCCTTCATAGAACATAAGAATTATGGCCAAGTACTACACAAGAATCACAATGAAGAGGATGGCTGGACTTCTTGACCTTTCTATTGATGTAAGTTCATGTGTGTTTATGGGGAGCTGTTTTGATCTGGTTTATCCTTGTGCTTATGGACTGATGGTGGATAGTCGTATGTGTGCCAATTAGGGATGTAAATGATTAACAGTTAACCGACAAACAGGTATTTAACCAATGCTGTCAGTTTAAAAGATTTTTATTTTCTATTTCCAATTGACATTCAAGTTGAGGAATAATTTTATTTATTTATTTATTTATTTATTTATTTATTTATTTAAATTCTATACCTAAGGATGCCATAGGTAGTTGATACCATTAGATGGCAGAGCTTAAAATTAGGATTTTTTTCAAAGGGTGATGGCACAACTTCAGCAATGTACCTTGTTGAAAGCAAACATCTTCAGGCAATAACATGGAGAACTACACACACGGAGAAATCACACATGGGAGTATAAAATTATAGAACCATAATAAATTACTTCTGGCAGTGTGATTGATGAATCTGGGTTCAGCGGATGCCAGAATGCTGCCTACCAGAATGCATAGTGCAACAGTAAAGTTTGGTGGAGGGGAAGAGGGATAATGGTCTGGGGCCGTCTTTCAGGGTTTGGGCCCCTTAGTGAAGGGTGATCTTAATGCTACAGCATACAAATACGTTTTAGACAATTATATGCTTCCAACTTTGTGGCCGCAGTTCGGGAAAGACCCTTTCCTGTTTCGGCATGACTGAGCCCCTGTGCACAAAGCAAGGTCAAATCATGCCTTTATGGACAAGTTTAGTGTGGAGGAACTCCAGTGTCCTGTACAAAGGCCTGACCTAAACCCCACTGAACACCTATAGGATGAACTGGAATGTCGATTGCTAGCAGGCCTTCTCGTCCAACATCAGTGCCTGACCTCACAAATGCTATTTGGCTGAATGGACTCCATATTAATGCCCATGGTTTTTGAATGTTCAACAAGCTTATGTAGGTGTGATGGTCAGGTGTCCATAAACTGTCAGGGCATTGATACAGATTTTAGTTGATGTGAGTATTTTAGGAATTTTACAGTGGCTTCAAATGTGGCTCAGCCAATAAGATTTCAGAACCAGAACTTTGTTTTATAGCTGATATTTTGATGAGTCAGATGGATTTGCCAAAACGTACATCCTTAATATCAATGCACATTGCCTTATTTAAGGTATAAAATCAGTCATTTGTGGTTATAAGATATAAACAAAACGCTCACTATATTATAGTCTAGACTTAGCATAGATTTTATTTTAGTCATAACATAAATGTAATTTGAAAGAAAGTGGTAGATTCCTGTTTCTATGTGCTCCTTAGGAGTCGGAAGAGTTTCTGTCCAACCTGGTGGTGAACAAGACCATCTACGCCAAAGTGGACCGCCTGGCAGGCATCATCAACTTCCAACGGCCCAAAGACCCCAACGACCTGCTGAACGACTGGTCTCACAAACTGAACTCTCTCATGTCTCTTGTCAACAAAACCACCCACCTTATCGCAAAAGAGGAGATGATCCATAACCTGCAGTAGCTGTGTCATACATGGAGCTTGTCCTTTAGCTCAAGATTTCACTGTTTGAATTATATATAGATTTTTTTTCTCCCTCTCTCTCTCTCTCTGCCTCTTCATCAAGGAGGAGGTTGAACAGCTTTGTCCTGTTTTTGTATATGTCCCAACAGATCGCACAATTGGAAAGAATTTATTTTGCAGTGTAAAAAAACAAAAAAAAAGTTGGCAACCCTTGTCTCTGTAGGGTGCCTGGGATCAGAGCTGCACTGCCTCACTTGCAGATTTGTTGGCTGTTATTTAACTGAAATTTGCATTGATGTTAGTCCAGATTTGGACTTAGTCATGTCTAGACTGGTATACAAGAGTGCTGATCTAGGATCGATATAGGCAGCAAAAATGTGATCTTGGGTCAGTACTGACACATTTGATACTTCAGAAATACCACACTGGGTGCAAATTAAGCCTGGCATTGGACTGAGTTAAATTGTTCGTGGCGATTCTTCTTTTTTTGGTCCATGTTTCAGAGCAGCGATGGTGACAGAACAGTGTAAAGGTAGGTAGTTAATTTCAGTGTTGACCTCACACGCAGGTACAAGAATATTCTATTTGGAAAATGACGGCAAACTGCATCGCTGTATACAACTGTTGCTTCATCCTCGGTAACATGTTTTGAGTCTTTTGCAATGTACACATTAAATCTTTCTTTTCAACATAATGGCATTTTCTTTGCTGCCTTTGAAATACTAGTTGGCCCTTAATAAAACAAAAACGGCTGCATCTCAATCTGCAAGATTGGAAATTAGATTTATTATTCAGTTATTCATTTTTTGTTTATAAATGTAGTAATTACTATCCCAAGGTTTTGTGCTATATAAAAGTGTACCTTACCCAACCTGTGAACATTCTATATATGGTGTCATCTTGTATAAATTTTTATTGTAAGTCAGTCATGTTAAAGATGAAAATACATGCTTGACAGGTTAATGTTAGTTGCACATATATTGGGGGGCAGTTCCCAGAAATGCCCACCAGAGGAAGCTGAACTACCAGTTTTCAATTTTAATGCAGGAAATGAATTTCAGTCTGAGATTCAGTCTGGAAAGTTTTAAAGACTAAAAATCAAAAATGTAGATTGAAAGCAAGACAGCTTTAACCTTAGAAGCCAGAGCATATAGGTAGAGCAAGAAATAGTGCAAACCACTGATTGGTAAAACGTAATTGTCCCTTGGTTGGTACCTAAATGTGTTTGGTCATGATAACAAAAGTCATGTTAATGCGTTTAGTGGTCTCCGCCAACGAGAGACCTTTAAATCTGAGCGTATATGCATATTCTTAAGGGAATATATGGAATGTTAAATGGAAATGCTGGAAGGCTATGTTTATGCTCAGGAGGAGCTGACTTAAACTTTTGTTAAAGGGTAGCTTTTTATTTTTTTTATTTATTTTTATTTTTTTATTTTTATGTTTTCATAGCCATCAGATAACCTCCTTAGCCAATGAATATATATATATATATATATATATATATATATATATATATATATAAAAAAAAGAATTTATTCTTTACAATTTAACTGACCAGCCATTACCATCACTGGACAAGGGTGGGTTTCACAAATTTTACCTGTTAAAGTGCAAACACTTTTGATGCGTTAAGATACTAATTTTTGCCATCTTTAGTGTAATATACTGTCAATGGGTTGATCTGAATACTTACATTAATGAATATGCAATGATGAAATGCAATTTAAAGGGAAAATCTACCAATTTATCAAAATCTCTGCATAATTCAAGCTCTGAGATGTAAAAAAAAAATTCATCCAGAGAGGTTTAGTGTGAAATGGTTAATTGTAGAGAAACTTACAATATAGTGTTAGGCCAAAACCTCTATCTCAGAACTATCATAAAACAATGTCTCAGGCATCAAGCAGAGTATGGAACTCACATCACATGTGCCAGTTTTAGCCCTGCCTAACTCAAATCGAACAGAAGAAAATGGCAGGAAAAACCAATTTACAAAACTCTCAACAGAAAAGAGCATTCTTCATCATTCTTTTTCAGCCAGTTCATTACAAAAACACAACAAAAACTGAAGTTAATAAGTTAGAAGAAAATCATGAAAATGAGTCGACAGGTGCTTAAAGTAAAAATTCTTTTGCACTTTAGGCCTTTGATAAGCCAGACCTTGAGGCTCCTCTACTGTTGCATAAAACAAAATGTTTTATGATCCATTGCAGAAAGTCTCTGCATTGATATTCTTAATTACAGATGTCTGATTACTGCTATAGAGATGATTTATTTCTAGAGGTGAATGATGATTGAAGAAAACTACAGTAAATTAAATAAAAGCATACTTTACCTAAAGATACACTATGGGCAAAAGTATTGTACACATTACATCTACAGGAACTTTTGAGACATCCCATTCTAAATCCATAGGCATTAATATGGAGTTGGTCCCCCTTTGCAGCTTTAACAGCATCCACTCTTCTGGGAAGCTTTCTACAAGATTTTGTGTGTGTCTTTGGGGTTTTTGCCTGTTCACCCAGAAGAGCATTTGTGAGGTCAGACACTGATGTTGGACAAGAGGGTCTGCCTCACAGTCTCTGTTCTAGTTCAGCCCAAAGGTGTTTGATATGGTTGAGGTCAGGGCTTTGTGAGGGGCATTTAAGTTTTTCCACACCAGACTCCCCCAGCCATGCCTTTATGGACCTTGCTTCGTGCAATGGGGCTCAGTCATGCTGGAACAGAAAAGGGCCTTCCCCAAACTGTTCCAACAAAGTTGGAAGCATACAATTGTCCAAAATGTCTTGGTCTGCTGAAGCATTAAGATTTCCCTTCACTGGAACTAAGGGGCCCAGACCAACCCCCTGAAAAACAACCCCATAGCATCATCCCTCCTCCACCAAACTTTACAGTTGGTATAGTGCAGTCAGGCAGGTAATGTTGTCCTGGCACTCACCAAACTCAGATTCGTCCATCAGACTGCCCGATAGAGAAGAACACAGAATACATTTCCACTGCTCCAGAGTCCAGTGTTTTACACCACTCCATCTGATGTTTGGCATGCTTGGTGATGCAAGGCTTGCATGCAGCTGCTCGGCCATGGAAACCCATGCCATGAAGCTCCCAGTGCACAGTTTTTGTGGTGATGTTAATGCCAGAGGAGGACTGGAACTCAACAGTTATTGAGTCAGTAGAGCGTTGGTGACTTTTATGCACTACGTGCCTCAGCACTCGACGACCCGCTCCGTAACTTTGCATGGTCTGACACTTTATGGCTGAGTTGCTGTGGTTCCTAAACGCTTACATTTTTCAATAATACCACTCAGTTGACCATTAACTATATAGGAGGGAAGAAATTTCATGACCTAATTTGTTGCAATGGTGGTATCCTATTACAGCACCACACTCAAATTCAGTGAGCTCTTTAGAACGACCCATTCTTTCACAAATGTTTGTAAAGGCAGACTGCATGGCTAGGTGCTTGATTTTATACACCTGTGGTAATGGAACTGAATGAAACACCTGAATTCAATGATTTTGAGATTGAATATTTTTGACATCTCAGTCACCATGCTTCTTTTGTTTTTAAATAAATGTATGGTTAAGGTTGATTATAACTCTGTCCTTTTACTTAAGCACAGCTGCAGAGATGTGCTGCTTTGTGAAGATCGTTCAGATTCAGGTTGTTTCTGTGTTAAAATATATCACGGTAGGTGATAAAAGAAAATGTGTTTAATTTACTGAGTCTCTGAGAAGAACAGCACCATGTCTGAGCCCTGAGGTGCTGATAAAGTGCTTCTGCAATCTCTATCTTTATTACGTAATCCCAGTAACACTTATTGTGCTGCGAACAGAAGTGTTTTTTTAATAAACCTGACAAAACTAGTCTCTTTCCGCTGCCACAGAAAAGTAAGCAGGACTGAGATACATATGGTACAGTTCAGACCGTGGCATTTTTTAACTTTTGGGGGCTCTACAAAACACCTACCGCATGTCTTTTAGTCAGGTTATGTAATCTGGTTTCTAAGGACGTTAGCCACATTTTATGTTAAGACAAGAAATCTCATTTTTACCATTTTCAGTTACACATATTCCAACATTGATTGCCCTGTCCAGCTTTTTATAACTTGTAGTTGGTTAGGTGGTTTGAAGGCATGCACAATGTGTAGGTGTATGCATGTTTTAATCAGCCAGTGAGTCGTACTGATGAAGTCTCTTTTTTTCATAATTTTTCATGTTGATAAGCTTTTAATAATAGTCATTGGTTTTCATGGATTCAATCTCATTTTACTGTGATATGCTTCTAACAGTAGTCATTCCTTTTAGAGATCAATTTCTCACTGTTATCCTGATAGGTTTCAGTAGTCATTAGATAGCATTGGTTAACTCAAATGCACAAAATGTTGCAAGACTGTATACACTTAAAATTTGGTTCTTAAAGACAATATTTCTGTATGGAACCATAAACACTCACAGAACCATTTGCTTGCTTAAATGGTTCTTTACCCAGTAAAATTGTTCTTCAGATTGATGGAGAATGTGTTGTATGGTTCTATATACACCGATCAGGCATAGCATTATGACCACCTCCTTGTTTCTATGCTCATTGTCCATTTTATCAACTCTACTGACTATATAGATGCACTTTGTAGTTCTACAATTACAGACTGTAGTCCATCTGTTTCTCTGAATACTCACAGAGCAGGTACTATTTAGGTGGTGGATCATTCTCAGCACTCCAGTAACACTGATGTGGTGGTGATGTGTTAGTGTGCTAGAAGATGACCAACACAAACTGTGCAGCAGCAGATGAGCTATCGTCTCTGACTTTACATCTAAAAGGTGGACTGACAAGGTAGGAGTGTCTAATAGAGTGGACAGTGAGTGGACACAGTGTTTAAAAACTCCAGCAGCACTGCTGTGTCTGATCCACTCGTACCAGCACAACACACACTACCACCACGTCAGTGTTACTGCAGTGCTGAGAATGATCCACCACCCAAATAGTACCTGCTCTCTGAGGGTCCATGAGGGTCCAGACCACTGAAGAACAGGGTAAAAGGGGCTAACAAAGTATGCAGAGAAACAGATGGACTACAGTCTGTAATTGTAGTATTACAAAGTGCACCTATATAATAAGTGGAGCTGATAAAATGGACAATGAGCATAGAAACAAGGAGGTGGTCATAATGTTATGCCTGATTGGTATAGAACCTTTATGAAAATGGTTCTACATAGCACTAAAAAGCGTTCTTCTTTTATTAGGATGTCAAGCTTATACTTGTCTTTGCTAAAAAAAAATCCTTGAAGAACCATGTTTTTAAGAGCAATAGCCTCTATAGGAATAGTGCATGTGTGCTTTTGGGACTGATCATATGGTTTTCGTACAGCATTTGTTCAGACTAAGTTTTTTTCTATCACAAGTGACATGGACATCTCCCACACTGACCCTCTTATCCATGTTTTTTCCTGAAAACCCAGTGGGGGCTGCCATTATGCCTCACTATTTCCATTTGCTGGTGTTCTGTTTCAAGTCGTGCTAGAATTCCAGTCGTGCGAATCAGAGAATGACGTGTGCTGTTGTCGGTTGCCACAACAACTCAAAAGAATTGGCAGATTTGTAATGTCCCACACCCTGTACGTTCCATTCCATACCAAAGAAGACAGAACAGAAAATGTGTGGCTCGCAATTGTAAAACTAATCCAAAG